AATAATATTTTGCTTTTAAAATTGTATTCAGTTATAAAATTGATTTAAGAAACACAAAAATTGACTTCTTCTAGTTATTGTTACTTACATTGCCTTTGTGGCCACCACCACCATTAGAACCACCTACTTCTAATTACTGCTTCTATCCAATAGTGTAATTATGAAATAAAGCACAGGGCAAAGGCCAAAGGGATTTAACAAGAATCTAATAAAAGGAAACGGTTCTCTAGATGGAGAAATGTACTACAACATAGTGAAAATTCACATCGTGAATCTTCCTAAGAGAAAAGTCTTGAAAATATCAGATGGCTTGTGCTGGCATATCAAGTAAGTAATTAAGTAAGTAATTTTCAAGACTTTTTTAGTGTAAAAGTAAAATGAGTACTCCCTTTTCCTAAAATAAGGTGATGCATCCCAACTATTCTCTCAACTAAATGTTTAACCTCTGCAAATGTGAGAGGTTAGCCCTGCTTGAGGACACAGATGTCCAGGCCTGCCTCACATTTCACTCTGATGCTCCTTCCTATCAGCACTAACTCTCTAATAACTAACCATCATAAAATGAAAACTGTGCTTCTTGGCTGGGTGGGTACTAAAGTGAGAACAAAGGAAACAGATCTAAAAGGTGATGAATACAAATTTTCAATACATGAAAGAACAGTATATATATATATATATAAAAAAAAAATATATATATATATATATATATACATACACACACACACATAAATGTGCATATTTTTTCCCTCCTAATCAATTCGCTACATCACCAGGGCTGTGAATGGCTGCATGGGATGGCAGAGGGGACAGTGGGATGAGGTAAGGCTGGCTGGCAGGCACTAAGGTCACAGTTAGACAGGGGGAATGGTTTTGGTGCTCTACTACACAGGAGAATGATTATTATGTAATATTTAGTCATCTATAATATATAGATAATATATTTTTTTTCAAAAAAGGCTAGAAAGAAGAATTTTGAATGTTTATACTACAAAGAAATGACAAATGTCTAAAGAAATAGGTATGTTTACCATGACTAGAACATTATACAATGTATTCACATTTATGTACATATGGTACCCCAAAAGTATGTACAATTTTTAATGTTGTCAATTAAAAAAGACAATGGGACAATGTGTCATGTCAAATATTAATTTTTGCTATAAAAATTTGAGTTTTTATAGTTTGGTTTTTTATATAATTTGGCCATAAAAAACTCATTTAATTTAAAATTGGCTATGATATGCCTTCTTGGGAATTGTTATGTACACTTAGAAATTCTTGTGAAGAAGAAAAGCACACCAACAAATCATTTGGGAACATAAGGACATTTTCTTCAGTTTGTGAGTAAATTTTTTAAATGATAAATTATTCTTTATAATATTTAATAATATTAAACCAAGATTCTTTAACACACTGCTCTCCTAACAAGCTCTTGCTGAAACATCCCAGTGAGGAGTGCCCTAGGCTTGCTCTCTGCAGAGAATTTCTGTCATCTACCTCCTGCTTTTAAGCACTGAAACTTGGTTTCATAAGTCAATGGTTCTCAGAGTATGATCCCTGGGACCCTTTCAGGGAGTCCATAGGTCAAAACTATCTTCATAATAATTTTAAGGTATCATTTGCTTATTTTTCTTTGTTCCATTTTGTTTTGCCATATTGGACATTAATACCAATGGCACAAAAGCAGTTTTGTGAGAAAAACTGCTGGAGCCTCAGCATAAACCAAATTGTACTAGTATAAGTCACTGTATTCCCACCATGCACTCACTGGTAAAACAGATGCCAAATTCACTTAAGAATGTCCTTAATGTACTAGTACAACTTATTAAGTTTATTAAATCTCAACCATAAGCATAAAGAAAATATCCTTTAATATTCTGTGATAAAATAGGAAGTGTGTATAAAACATTTCTGCTGCATATCAAAGAAAGATGGCTATCTCAGGAGAAAAGCTTGAAAACTGACACTTGGGTATCTGGCAGACATTTTCTTGAAAATGAATAAAGTGAGCCTGTTAACTTCAGAGACAACTAACAATATTTGTTGCTAATGAGATTTTTAAAGAAAAAATTAAATTTTGAAGAATTTGTGTTCACACTTATAAATCTGAGAATTTATGACTTTTTGATGAGATCAGTGGTGACATTAATTATTTGTAGGCTTGTAACATCTTTTCAGTTTTCCCATTGTTCTTCATTTTATTATGTCCCATTAAAATGGTGAGCTCTGTGAAGGGAGAACTATTTAATAATAGTGTCCTTAAGACCTAGAACTCAATTATACAAAGAACAGTCATTGGATACATATTCACTGACTACCTTACTATTCTGACTGATGGTATTAAATAAAATGTGTATATGTGTATTTTTGTATGCCTCTGTTATGTATGCATATGTATACTGAGTTCACAAGTATTCTATGCTCCTGGTGACTCTACATCTCTCAAAGCTCTTTATCCCATTTTTCCCCATATAACTTTCTTACAATTTGCCTTAAATTAGCTTTTCTTGGTAAAAGAAAAATCATGTATTTGCTACAACACTGATCCAAATAATCAAAATAAATAATCCATTTTTTTTTTTTAAATTTTTTTACTCATACATGGACACAATATCTTTGTTTATTTTTATGTGGTGGTGGGGATCAAACCCAGGGCCCCACATGTGCAAGGCAAGCACTCTGCCATTAAGCCACAACCACAGCCCAAAAAGTAACCCATTTTTTAAATACATATTTAATAACTATGACTCTAAAGGAGGGGTTGGCAAACTACTGGCTGTTTTTGTAAATAAAGTTTTATTGGACTACAGCCATTTCCACTCATTTACATACTATGCATGGTGGCTCTGGCACTGCAACAGCAGAATTGCAGAAGTTTATGAGACTACATGGCTCACAACTCTTTGAAAATATTTGCTATGCAATTCTTTATAGAGTAACTGCAGATGCCTTCTTGAGAATACAAACTTTTTGGAAAAATTGTGCTCATTTTTATTTTTAAATTATACAAAGTAGAGCTGTAGCTATAGCTCAATGGTAGAGTGCCTGCCTCTCATGTGTGAGGCACTGGGTTCGATCCTCAGCACCACATAAAAATAAATAAATAAAGATATTGTGTCCGTCTACAACTAAAAAGAAAAATATTTTTAAAAATTATACAAAGTATATTGTGCTTTATATCAAAATATACTTCTTATTTGAAATCAAATAAAACAAATACAAAACTGTTGCTAAAATACCTACACATTTTCAATGTAAATTCTGAAAAGAAACTAATACAATTCCCAAGGAGTATGTGCCCTAGTTCTTCTTTCTTATGGCTTAAGATCTTATTATCACTTTTATCCAGGCCTACCTACCAAAGCCAAATATCCATTACCACCAAATCAGGCTAGGCAGAATTAAAACTTTTAACGGCCTCACATCAAACAAATGGTGACTTCTGCTGCTAGCCATGAGCATGGGACTAGTCCACTGCCATAAACAACTGCTTGCAGACAGTGGGACAACAGCAAAATGATACTGTAATTACTGAAAATGGGAAAACAACTGAGACCTGGAGAGTTTATTTGAATGAACAGTTCATAGTCCTGCTTTTAAAGCCAGTAAAAACCGTATTCATTTTTATTTTTAAAAAAATTCATAGTCTTTAACATACATACTCACAATGTCCTTGGGATGAGGCAGCTATAGACAGAATTAGCTGGCAAAAATGCTAAAACAGTATTATAAACAGACTTCATGTATTCAAGAATGCAAAAGAAAACATAAGCAAGACAGAAAGAGAAAGGGAAAAGAGTTTCCATTTAATTCTTTATTATGTCTTCAACAACTGAAAGAAATTAAAAATCTGAAATTAAAAATCTACTGATAGAATTAACAGATTAGACACTGCAGAAGAGGAATGAACCTGAAGATAGTAATAGAAACTAATCAAATTGAGGGACCAGGATGTAGTCCAGTGGTATAGTTTTTGCCTGGAATGCAAAAGGCCCTGGATTCAATCCCCAGCACCAGACCACAAAAAGAAAACAAACTATTCAAATTGAAACCACAGAGGAAAAGGATTGAAAAAAATAAACAAACTAAGCCCCGGTGATTTATAAGACAATATCAAATAGCCTAACATATACATTACTGGAATCCTAGAAATAATGGGAGAGACAGGGAAAATCCTTGAAGAAACAGTAGTAGAAAGGTTCCCAAAATTTGGTGTGAATGATTAAGTCCACAGATCCACAAAACTCAAAGAACATCAGACCAAGATAAACAAAGACAATCACACCAAGGCACATCACCAATTGCTCAAAACCAGTGAATGTCATTAAGAACAAAACAAAAAGATTATGTTGCTCCCCTCCATATATCATATAAAATAGACAACTCTAATCCAAACAAAGTAGGCAATGTATTTCTAGATTTTCTAATTGAAAAAAAAAAAAAATGAGGGTAAAGTTCATCAAAGTTGAACTTCTCTCATTTTGTAGAGAGCTTCCTTCGCTGGTATCCCTAGCATTACCTTAGTCCATCTGTTGGATAATCAAGAATGGACAATCTGGAAAAGAACAGTAACACAACCCATTTACAGACCTTAGAGTTCATGAATGTCACAATCTTTGGGAACTGCATGTCCCCTGAGATCAGAAGCTTTCATGTCTTTGACCATCTATTTCTAGTGTAGTCTCTAATGAAGCACAACCACGTGAATACAAAGGAATGAATCAGTCTAGTTCACCCTCAGTACACTGGCATGTGATGTACAGAACAAGGTATAAAAACAGATGTACAGAGGGACTAAATGACTGTCCCAAGAATATTCAAAAGACATCCTTAGAGTAATGCTACCACACAATGTTATCTCAAAGTAGAAATAAAAAAACAAGCTTTAGGGGTTAGGGATTTAGCTCATTTGCAGAGCACTTGCTTAGCACATACAAGGCACTGGGACCAATTCTCAGCACCCAAAAAAAAAAAAGAAATGAGCTTTAAGTTTTACTTACTCTGAGTTTCCACAAGATCCAAAGCCACACTAGACACTGTGTCCATTCCGGAGCTGATACAGGATTGGAAGGTTTTTAAGGAAGAGAGAGCAGACTCTACACCACTGAAGGATATGAAACCAGTTGAACCTGAACTTGAACTGGAACGCCCTGGCATCTTGGAATTATTACCTAAATTTTAAACACAGTAACAAGAGTTGTATGTTAGAAAAATAACCATATATGAAAATAGGAAAGTTGTAAATAATCATATGACTATATCCAATATCCAGGTGCCATACTATTATCTACATTCAGTGTCCCCTGAAAGGACACAAGAGCATCGTGCCATCATCTGGGCCACCAAACACCGATGCACACAATACAGGATGAAGGTTAACTGTCTTCATTTTTTAAAGCAGGTAGAATACCCTCTTCCAAAAGATTCTTTGATTCTCTGAAGAATTCAGTAACAGCCTAAAACATAAAACAAGTTATCCATGATGCATTTTTCTAAAACAAAAAACAATAATAATAAAAGCCTAATAAGGCAGGATTTTGAAAATCTATAATTTTGGGGGGTGGGGAGATACCAGGGATTGAACTCAGGGGCATTCAACCACTCTACCACATCCCCAGCCCTATTTTATATTTTATTTAGAGACAGGGTCTCACTGAGTTGCCTCGTCATTGCTGAGGCTGGCTTTTAACTCACTATCCTCCTGCCTTAGCCTCCAGAGCAGCTGGGATTATAGGCATTCGCCACCACGCCTAGCAAAAATCTGTAATTTTTAACTTATCAGATATATTTGCAGTTTGAATTCTGAAAACTGTAAAAATTACCTGACTGCTTCTCCAAGTTCTAGCACATCTATAAACTTGGGAGACCCCAAGATTCAATAAAAGCAAAATTTCTGTGTAGACTTCTCATCTTCTGTTAATTCATCCATTTTAGCAGATTCATTTATTACCTTTATATTAAACTCCCTAAAACTCTACTTTCAACCACCCAATCTTTAAGCTTTGGACTTCTTTATGTAAAGTGCCTACAGAAAGACATGTTTGCTTAATTCAGAAATCATCTGAAATTCAATCCACTGAAATCAATTAGAAAAATAAAACCCACAGAGGCTTACTAGGCTGGGAGGCTGGCTGTTCCTAAGGCTGTATGGTAACAGAAAGACATTTTCCTGGAATCATGAACTCAGACTCTACAATTTTACTACTGTGTGACCACAAGCAAACTGAACGCCCCAGAAAAGGCATGGGAAGGAGTAATCATGACATGGACTAGCATCTAGTACACAGTCAATCAGCATGGGAACCTGCCCTTCTTTCTTAGTAGACAGCTATGCACTATCTCTGGCATTTCCTCCTCTCCATGACAACCATTTTTACCTCGCATTTGTACTACTACTGTAGTTTCTCAATTATCTCCTCCTGAATTAGGTCCATTCACTCAAATAGGGCCTTAGCATGTCTATCTTTAGACTCATTAAAAACAAAGGGTACAGTGACACATAAGATGCTGATTTTTATTTCTGAGGTTTTAGTTTAGTGCAATCATCCACAATTACAACTCACTGACAATTCGAAGAATTCAGTCAACAAATATTTAATATAAGTACCTCCTTAAGTGTATGGCACTTCTAGCATGGAAATGTCATAATTTTCAAGATGAGTGCTCTTAAGACTCATTTTCAAGCACTATTTTGTTTCTTTTCCTTCAGTGAAAACCTACCATATGCCATGCACTATTCTAGACCCTAGAAATACTCAGCCTCTCATCAGCAGAGCTCACAGTTGAGCAGTAGAGGGAGGGAGGGCAGCAGAGGGAGGGAGGCAGACACAAAAGAGGAGGGGAGGGGTGGGGGGGAGCAGTGTGGGAGTTACTGAAAAGTGGAGGCACTAGTAATGCTTAACTTTGCCTTAAGTGATCAAAGACACCAAGGCTAACTGATCTTACCAGGATAAAGAAAGAAATTTAATGGATGGAGAGAAAACCATTCAAGAAGAAGAAAGGAATATAGGAATAAAGAGCAAAGACATTTGCAAAGAATATACAACTCTCTACAACTATTTGAATTTTCCTAATTACAGAAAAATAATACCCTTTTACGACTCTTTACAAATTTCCAACTCTTCCTCCTCCATCTTCACCACAAACTAAAAATCTCATTTCCTATTTCACTGAGGAAACACAAACAGAAGAGATGTTTTACAAGTTCCCACTGCTTGCCTCTTCCTTCCTCTGCCTTCCTTTTTGATAACAGGAGTAATCTGTGCCTGCTCCTTGGCAAGCCAACCCCCCACCACTTATCCACTAGATCCTTCCCTTCTCTACACACTGTCCCAGTAATTCTCCCTGTTCTCCTGATTCCCTACAGCAAACAAAGGAACCATTATTTCTCCTACCTTAAAGAAAACATCCTCCCACTTTCCCTTTAGGTTCACCCATGGTCACCACCCCCATTTCTCTGCTCACTATTATAGCAAAACTCTTTCACAGATTTTTCTGTCTCCAAACTCTTTCCTCTCATTCTCTCTTGGACCCACTCCTGCCAGCCTTCCACCCCAACCACTCAGATGCAACTGCTCTTACAAAGATCACTACTACAGTCCCTATCTCCTTTGACCTATCAATCAATAGCATCTGGCACAGTTCATCATCCCTCCTTCCTGGTGCACTTTCTGACCTGCCTCCCCTGCCCGGTTGCTCTTCTATCCATAGATGGTTCTCATTCTCTGCTGTTCCTCTGCATCTGCCTGAGTGCCATATGATGGAGGGCTTCAGCATTCAGAATTTGGTCTCTTATTCTTTTCCATCTATATAAAAATCAAGTACAACCCTGCCTCAGGGCCATGCTTCTCTGTTTCTTCTGCCAGGATACCTATCCCCTAAATATCTACATTGCCACCTTTCTCACTTCCCTAAGGTCTCCCTTCAAATGCCTACCTTCGATGCCCTATGCAAAATAGCAAGTGCTCCCCATCCCCATCAGATTTCAGGTCATTCCCTCTTCTCCTTTTTCTGTTTTATCTTTCTTCACAAGAGATACTACCAAACAACATTCTTTTGTTTATCATGTTTATTGTATCTACTTCCCAATTAGACTACAAGTTCCTTAGGGACAAAGTCTTTGTTGTGTTCACTGCTTTATGTCAAGCACCTAAAATGGAGTGGCACACATAGCCGTTCAGTAAAGTTATGGTGAAATAATAAAGGAGTGAAACATGACATGTACCCCGGACACCTAAAAACAGTGCATCTCTCCCTCCCAAATCTCAATGCTGGCAAATCCTAATGCTGGCAGGCTCAGGCTTAGTGCCCTGGTCACCTCTCTTCTCCATCCTCTCCCACCCACCCAGGGCTCCCAGCCAGTCCCATTCCATGTAAGTACTATCAACAAGAACACTGAACACCCAACACCTCCCTTCCCACTTCCCTACCTGCTCTCAAACCTTTTCCTTTTGTAGTAGGTTCCATCTTACTAATTTCCACTTTTTAAATCAAAAACCTTGATCATATTTAATCCTCCTCATCAAAATCAAACTCATCAAAACTTTTGTCAGAATCCCACCATTCTCACCAATTCTACTGTTACTACCTGATTAAAAACGCTATCTTTGTGTTTGTCAGCTTTTTTTTGGTGTGATCAAAATATCTGACAAGAACAATTTAGAGAAGGAAAAGTTTATTTGGGGTGCTATGATTTCAGAGGTTCAGTACATGGTCAGCCAAATCCATTGTTCCAGGCCTGAGGCAAGGCAGAACATCATGGAGAAATGGTGTGGCAGAGGAAAGTTGCTCAGAGCCTGGCAGCCAGGAAGCAGAGAAAGACAGTACAAGGAGCTGCAGACAAGATCTAATGCCCAAAAGAATGCCCTCCGGTGACCCACTTCCTCCAGCCATACCCATCCAGCATAGTTGTACTTTCACTAATGCAGTTACAGCTCTTGGAATCTGATCATCATTTCCCCTGTGAACATTCTTGCATTAACATAGGAGCTTTCCCAGGGACATTAAGGATCCAAACCATAACAGCCTCCAACCTGGTCTCCCAGATCCCAACCTTATCTTTTCCACTCAATTCTCAAAACAGTTACCCTGAAAGAAAATTTGAAAATGTACATAAAATCAAGTGGCTCCCCTGTTCAAAACCCTCTTCCCACTTCCTGATTCATATCAAATGATACCCAAAGGGCTTCATACCAACAGTGGTTCCCCAAATAGTCCATAACCAAGTAGCATTAGTATCACCTCTGAACTTGTTAGAAATGCAGATTCTCGGGCCCTAACAACCTGTGTTTGAAGACATTCTATGTAATTCTTGTTGTGCTATACCTAGGCTTCAGTGTTAGCACATCACCTGACAGGGCTGCTGAAACCCTGATTGCTGGGCCTCAACCTTGCAATTTCTAATTCAGTAGGTATTAGACCAAAGAACCTGAACTTCCAACAAACTTCCAGTAATGCGGATGCTGCTGATCCAGGAATCACGCTTTGAAAACCACTGCTCTACAGCACATGGTCAGGTGCTGTAGAGCAGTGGTTTTCAAAGCGTGACTTTAATAACCTAGGCATGATTTTAACCTTAGGGTATTTGCACTTGCTGACAAGAGAGACAGGGATGCCAATAATGAAAACAGACAATAAAAAGAAGGAAGGTCGGTCTTAACTCCATGTTGCCTATATAATAAAATTTGGCATTATGAGCAGAGTAGCCAAAGCCTTCCACAAATCCAAAGCCTTTTTCCAAGACCAAAACATATATTCCATGTAACCATAACTACTCAATATTCTGAGAAAATTCAATCAATTTCTGCAACAACCCTTCAACACAAGCTTGAAAGAGAACATATGCATATTAGAAAAATAAACCAAGTACTATGAATTCAAAAGAGAAAGAGATTTCAAAACCCTGTACACTAAGAGGTTCAAAAAAGAAATGACCACAAGCATAACTGAGGGAAGACATGGTCTTCAATGATAAGAAGGCGGTTAAGCTAGATTAGGATTGAGGAAAGTTTAAGTTATCCAAAGAGAGCATCTGACGTGAAGAAAAAATTATAATGAAAAGCGGTCATGAGGTAGGAAAGTGGGGTGAGCCCCCTTCACCTGGCATACAGGGACAAAGGGAAGGAAAGAAAACTGGATTTCATTCCTTGGCAGGATAGTGTAGGGGGTCGTCAGGGAAGGATAAAGAATAATCCACTTGAGCCTGAGTGTCATCAAATACACTTTTAGCTTTATGTATTTTAAAAACTTTACCTTAAAAATAAAGACCAGAAGCAAACATGGTAAAATGCTATAGATGTTAAAATCTGGGGATCAAAAAGGGTTCTCGGGCTGGGGCTGTAGCTCAGCAGCAGAGCACTTGCCTTGCACCTGTGAGGCACTGGGTTGGATCCTCAGCACCACATAAAAATAAACAAATTTTTAAAAAGGGGGGTTTTAAAATTAACACCAAAAGAGAGAAAATATGAATATAAATTAAAACCCAAAGGTGATTTTTAAACACGTGCATTTGGTGAAAGAGGGTGCTTATTTAGAATCCCACTTTATTTCCCCAAACAAGTTGGATTATTTTATACAATATAAATAAAAATGTATCCAAAAACATGTAAAAATACAAAATCTTTAAAATCAGAGTCAAAACTCAGAAATTAAAGGGAAAACCAAGTATATGAGAGAGAATGCAGCCATGCAGGCTCTAGGATTCTACAGGGCATTACATTTGTAATACAAATTTAGCTGTGAACTTCCTGACAATCAAAACAAAAGTGAAGGTTACTTTTCCCACAAAGAAGAAAGTACACCAGGAACATAAGAAAAATAAAGCTTTCCAGAGCAACTAAGGCAGTACAAATTATTATGAGATAAAAAGAGTTACGTTTAAAAAATTCTCAGTAATATCCCTACAATAAATGCAACAGCAAACTTCCTAGGACTGTTTCATAAGACTATTTCACAGGGTAGACTAAAGACAGGACACTTGTGACAGATATCAGCCGGTGCCCAGCAAAGCCATTTCTTCTTCAACCTAGTCAAACAGCTGTTGAACCACTGCACTTCACAGTTTTCCTTGCACTTAGGTGTGGCCTAAGATTGTACTCAAGGCAATGAAATATGAGCTGTTTCCAGGCCCAGTCCATAAAAATCTTTTCCACACTTTCTCCATACACACACTCTCCTGTTTGGTAGATGATGGGCTAGTGAGTGACTTTACAAGATGAGACCCACCAGGTGAGATGGCACACACCTGTAATCCTAGTGGCTCAGGAGGCTGAGACAGAAAGATAACAGCCTCAGCAACATAGGGAGGCCCTAAGCAACTTAGTGAAACCCCGTCTCTAAATAAAATATAAAAAGGGACTGGGGATGTGACTCAGTGGTTAAGCACCCCTGAGTTCAATCCTTGGTACCAGACACAGTAAGGAGGCAGCCACCTGCAAGCTTTCTTCCTAGAAAGTCCCCACATGAATCTAACCACACTGGCTAGCATCCTGATCTTGAACTTTAAGCCTCTGGAACTATGAGAAATAAATTTCTATAGTTTAGGTCACCTAAAATTCTATGGTATTTTGTTGTAACTGTCTAAATTAAGACATAATTTATACATAAGGGTTAATGCAGTTCAGGATAAAAAGAAACCTACCACACAGTAGTTATCCTTTATTATTTGTTTGAATAGGAAATTCACATTACTCCAGTGAAACTTCACTCCTACAGAGAACTGAGGAAAACTAGTCATGACCTTCTGTTATCTGGACTGAGAAGCAAAGAGAATAAATGAAACAGAAAGATGGAATAGACATACTTTTTTTCCCAATTCTTCCCAATAAGTAAAACTAAGTTTGTAAACCAAAGGCAATCCCTGACTCAAACACCTTATCTGACATGATTTCGCAGTCACTCTATTTTGTGAAACACTACTTACTATCTACCATGATGTTCACAGTGCTTCACAAATAGCAAGAGCTCAGAAAATATCCTCTAAATGAATCAATCAACCATCTGCCTCAGTCAGACCCTAATCGCTTTTCTTTCATTTTCTCCTTCACATACACTACTCATAATTCCAGCTCAAGACTTTGTTCATCCTGCTCCCACCATGAGAATACCCTCCCCTCTTCACTTTAGAATCTGCTACCATCTGCTAGAATCTTGTGCTCCCCCAACCAAAAAGTATGTTGAAAACTAATACCAAGGTTAGTATTAGGAGGCTGGGCTTTGGGGAGGTGATTAGATCCACCCACCTGAATGGGATTAGTGCCCTTATAAAGGACTCTACAGAGAGCTGCCTTATCCCACTACCAGCAAGAACTCACCAAGTAAGTAACCACCTACAAACCAGGAATTAGGGCTTCATCAGGCACTGAGTCTAATGGCCCCTTGACCTTGGAATTCTCAGCCTCCAAAATTGTAAGAAATAATTTTGTTGTTTATAAACTACCCAGTTTATGGTGTTTTGTTACAGCAGCTGAACTGACTCTGATACTTTCACACATTCACTTTCCCTGACATGAGTGTTGCTTTTTGCAGTCACTTTGCCCATACTCCAGGGTACATTTAGCAACATCTGGAGACATTTTTGGTTGCTGGGGAGGGGGATGGGGGGGCAGTACTAACTACTAGTGGACAGAGGCCAGGGAGGGTGCTAAACAACCTGGCTGCACAGGACAGCTGGTCACTAAAAAGAATCATGCCCCCAAATATCCACAATGCATTGGTTTAGATCAATCTCTTCTTGGTTCGTTCCCCAGGTAACAGCAATCTTTATGTTACCTTGGAGACCTATGAGCTCCAAGACAGTTTAAAACAAATTGATGTTTTATGAGGTCTTCCCTTGCATGCTATTTTGCCTCCCCTGACGAACCTGGAATATTCTTCATATTCTTTGATTTGCTATTCATAATAACTCAGCTCTCTTCCTTTAGTCACGTGAATACTTATATTTTCCTCTCAACAACGCTGCCTCGCCAGCACTGTTCCTATTATTCTTCCTTGGATTATCCCAGTCCCTTATAATGGAGTGCCAATATCATCTGGCCTCTGGAATCCCTTTCCTGCACCCTACCCCTGTGCTCTTATCAAGCTGTCAGTTCATAAGGGAAGAATCAGCAACTCAACTTCTGTCACAAGCCCATCTGAAATGTTCCATCATTAATGCAGCTGCACGCCCCAACCTGGAATAATCTGTCCCTTTTTTAAAATATCCACTGCATTACTTTTAAGGCACACATTTTTCTTTGCATCCTAGTTGCATATGCTTTATGACCCTGCTAAATTGAAAAAAAAATTAAATGTTAAATTACACATAACATAGAATTTTACCATCTTAACCATTTTTAAGTGTACAGTCCAGCAGTGTTAAGTACATTCACATTGTTATACAACCAATCTCTAGAACTCTTTTTATCTCACAAAACTAAAACTTTACAACTATTAAACAACTCCCATTTCCTGGGCTCCTAGCTCCTGGAGAAAGCAGAAACCACACTGTACTTTCTGACTCTGACCTTGACTACCTTCTGTACTTCATATACAGGGAATCATATAATATTTGATTATATCACATGATTAATAATTGGCCCTGTCGGTAAGGCCAATTATTAATGGGAAAATAAAAATGCTTCTCTTGCCTCTTCTCACCTGACTGTATGACACCACCATAGGCTCCGAGTAAACACTTCCTAGACAACGTGCTGGCCTCCTGTAAGTCCCTGGTAGCCTGTGTCTCCTTTCTTAGCATGCCAAGAAACATCTTTCTCCCGGAAGCCTTCTCTTATTCATGCAGTCGTTTGTTCCCTCTCTCATGTAACCACTGTCCCTAGCACACTCACGTACACACACACTTCCACGTAAAACTCTTCGCAGCTATTTGCTCAGACGTCTGTGGTTCCTTCATCCTCGGAGTTCCCTAAACTAAAATGCTGACATATTCTGGGAGCTGTTAAACAGCTTCTCATACAAAATAGGTAACCAATAAAGATTTGTTGAAAGTCAGGGAAACAACAAAAACGCCACCATTTCTCGGTCACCTACAAGGGACCACAAATGGTGCCCCGGCGCCTGGTTCTCACTACCGCTAATCCTCACACCAATCTCGAGAAGCGAAAAGGAAACTGAGACCCCGAGACTTTTATTTGAACCAAAGGCTCCTGGCCCTGCTTTTAAAGCCGGTTCAAACCTGAATAATTCCTGGTCCGTCCGTCCGTCTGTCTGTCCCCCTCGCCCCGACACACACAGCGCGGAAGGACGGAGGGACGGCCTCTCCCAGCCTGGGTACCCGGCAGCAGCCCCGCTGAGGTGACACGGGCCAGGACCGCAGCCCGGGCTAGCCGACCCGGGGCCGGTCCCTGTGGCGCGCCCAGAGCTAGACGACAACTCCCGCCGCGCTGGCCACCACCATCCCCCGCTCCCGCCTCACCTGGCAGCACCACCCGACTCGGTCTGCTGCACCCGGAGTCCGCACACCCGGACCCCAAATCCTCTCCGCAAAGCCAGTCGCGGCAACGGCCAGCGCGGGCTCCTGCGTCATCAGCCGTCGCCCGCGATGGGGTCACGTGACGCCCCGCCCTGCTGTCCATCTCTTCGGTCATGTGACGACCTGAAGAGGCAGGGGCGGAAGCCGGGGTCCGGCCACCTCAAGATCTGGGGCCGGGGGCAGGAACCCTTGCGGAGCGCGAGGGTGGGAGCGGGCTGCGGACCCCGCGCGCGATCGCCGGCCCTACGCGTGCGCGGGTGCGCGGGCCGCTGACAGGTGAGTCGGGCGGGGCGCGCGCCCTCCTGTCAAGTCCCGCGTCCCCTCCCTGGCGGCCGGGCCGCGCTGCGGCTGGGGTTCTGTAGTAGCATAGCTTATGGTCTGGAAGGGGACCTGGGCAGGAGGGCTTAGAGGCCAGTCCAGAGCTTCAGCTCCACTTGGAAATCATTTTGCACTCTCCTTTGGCGCTCTGGGAGCGCCCGCTGCCAGAAGTGTGGCTTCTTGGCCCGCATCTGCTCCTTGCAAGTTTCCGGGGGCAATGCTGTGCTGATGTTGCTGTTCCTCCAGAAAACTAAGTGATTAGTGAGTGCTTTTGCGAGACCCAGTTTGAATTCTAGTTCTCTCATGCGCTGTGAGTTTGGGCAAGTCTTTGCCCCTCTCTTGCTCCCTAATTCCCTCACTTGTAACATTGTGGTGCCAAAGTCCTTTGCATTTCGAACAAAATGTTCCGCAGCCTCTGATTCCTTTATGGTTGCCCAATAAAAATAACTCAATAAATTGCACAGAGCCAGTAATGGGACCTGATCTTAACGTACATGGAGCTCCCTCCAACGTGAGTTAAGAGGGCCAGGACAGCGGTGAGGGAGATGTGTTTACTGCCTCTGCCCACAACTAGGGATACCTACCCTAATTACCCTTCACCAGTCTTTCTTAGTAGTCATAAATCGGCTAGTATGATCAGGCTCATTACAGAACTTTTCTGGAAGAGATTTGCCTCTCACATTTATCTTGTCCAATGACCATTATATTTTGTTCATGATAATAGATTTGTGGAGACCAGTGAGTGCTTCCTTATTAATGGAACTGAGATTCTGTGAAAGGATAAAATTAGAATTTTTTATCCTTTTCTATCCTTTGTGTAGGATCAATGGTGCATTGTTCAGGACAATTGAATTGCTTAAGAAATTTTTGTTCTGTATTTATTTGGTGTGTGATGATGTCATGCTTCATTCCTGAAAGCATGGTATCTGTCCCCAAGTGAAATCCCAGTTCCATCCCAAATCCTTAGAAATGAAGTTATGACAACTTTATAACTCGTAAAATAATAATAGGGACATTGACAGATCTCGGTTTCCATTTCATGCCAATAGAATATTAGTATTGAGAATACTGGTCTTTGTACATTTTCTTCATCTCTTGCACCAAACAACCTCTGAAGAATTATTTGATATAGCTTCTCCTACAATGTTTATTTAGAACTCATTCTAGAGTAATTTTTTTTAAAGACTTGTAAATCTCTCTACCCACTTCATAGGTCATTGTAATGTGATTAGGCATCTACTGATGGTTTTTTTCATTCTTCTTCAGAGTCGATTTTTCATCCAATGGTAGAATTGTTTACCAAATACCCTAGCCAAATAATATTCATGCAAGTTGTGGAAATTCTCTTTGTTGCATGGAAAATGTAACTAATTCAAGTTAGGAGGTCTAGTACACAGTAATGTAACTTACATGTGATAATGTGAGTGATTTCCTTCTTTCAGTTAATCTGGTTTTAACTCGAGTCTTCAAAATTTTCACAAAAAATGCTTACACTATAGAGATAGAAATCAATTGTTCTACATGAGGGAAGGCAGATGACAATGAGTTTTATTTCACTGAAAGTATATTAAATGTAAGCCACATTCTGCTTTTACATTAAAAATTTAGCACAAACATTAATAGATTTTTAGATAAGACAGTCTAGGTAATAAAGATCGTAACACTTGTTTTTCAATTGCCAAACACATATGATTCTTTTCTTATACTCTTCTTATACTGATCTTTAAAGGTATCTACAGTGTGATTCTTGATTGAAGGTATAAGGATTAAAATAAGAGATTGACACACAAAAGTCGTGACTTGTGTCATCATCCCAGAGCTGAGCTTGAATGTGTCATACTGAGCATGCAGGTTCTGAGTATATCTGTCTGGCTGTTGGGAGAGCTGGGGAAGAGGGTGGGTAATGTTGCTTTGTTTAAGCAGTTTTCTCCGGGTCCCCACTGCCCTATTCTACTATCTAAAATCTGGTAGCAGTTATAACTTGGCCTTGTCTTTATGAATCTAGACATTCATCCTGCAAAGACCTTCTTGGTTAGTTTGCTCTTCAGAGGAAAAACTCAGAAGGTGACTGTTTCACCCATTTTCCATTATTTTCACCTTTTTCCTCTCTCATTTCCCAAGCTAGACCATATCAGTGCAGAAAATAATATGAAATTCAGCCTGTTAAATAGCATTGTGATTTAATAAGCAGGCATCACAGAGAAAACTAAAAGGATTTGTTAATAATTTATGCTTTAATGTATATTATATGGGTACCCTCATGAGAGAGCATTCTCGACTTCTTAGCAATGCTTGCTTTCAGACCCAAACTGGTCCACCTCCACTAATTTCTGTTTCTGTCCCTTGCTCACTCTGCTCCAGCCACATCAGCTACCTTGGTGTTCCCTAAGCACATCTAGCACATTTCTGATCTGAGGCCTTTGCACTTACTTTTAACCTCTGTGTGGAATGTCCTTCTGGACCACATCATTATCTTTTTCTGCATAGCTAAATACCTCATAACCTAGTGGCTTTGAATGATGGACATTTATGAACTCACAGCTTCTGTGGTCAGGAATTAAGAGTATGGCCAAGCCAGCTGGGTGCCTTTGCTCAAGGGCTCTTGGGAGGTTGCACTCAATCTATGAGCATGGTCTGTAGTCTTATCTGCAGGCTCCACTTTGGGTTGGGGGGATATGCTTTCAAGCTTGCTTATGTGGTTGTTGACTTGCTCTCACTTGCTGCAACCATATGCTGCAACCACTTGCTTCCCCAGAACTAGCAAGCTAGAGAGGATACCCACACCAGACATGGTGACACATGCCTGTCTCAGCTACTCAAAAGATGGAGACAGGATGATACCTTGAGCCCACAAGTTCAAGGCCATCCTGGGCAACATAGGGAGACTCTATCTTAAAAATTGATAATAATAATAATAATAATAATATTAGGGTACTCAAACCAGAACTCACTCTTTTCTAATCTCAGAGATGGTATCTTTCCCTGCTATCATCTGTTCTTTAGAAAGGAGTGAGTAAGTCAGCCCACATGCAAGGGTGACTTACCTAGCACATGAGTACCAGGGGGCAGGTCTTCAGGGACCAACTTAGAAGCTGTGGGTCATACCCAAACACCCTCACTGCTTACTCTCCTCCTGATATCTTCTCAGATATCATCCTGTCAGAGAGGCCTTCCCGAACTCTCCATGTAAACTAACCCTTGCTCTGTCCTGTTACCATGCCTTTCTTCACAGCTGTCATCACAGCCTGATATCCAGTTATTTGTTTTCTCTTTCCCACTGCCATGAGTATGTTAGCATCATGACAACAGGGACTTAGTTTTGTTTTCACTGGTATAGCCTCAGATCCTGAAGCAGTGCTTGGCCCATAGTCTTTACTGGGTAAATATTTGTTGAATGAATGATTTGTATCACTAAGAATGCTTTCACCAGATAACCCAATGAACAGTGGGTAAACCACAAAGCAATACATTGAATAAGGATTACAGATATGTACAGATGTGTAATTTAACAGTTAACCAGCAGTTCAGCAACATCAACAAAAACTAAGATTCTGTCCTTCCATACCATAGTCTGCAGGTTCTGAGCTTTTTCCCCTTAGGCTTGTCACCTCTTGGTCTCAGCTACTGCAGCTCCAGGAATCATATGGTCATCAGACCACATCAATGGCAAGAAGCAAGAGAATAACTAGTACAAAGAGAGATCTTTCTTCACATCCCCTTCCCTTTGTCACAGGAGGTAAAAAATATTTCCTGGACTCCCCACCATAGACTTAAATCTCCTGGGTCAAAATTGGACTACACATCTACTGCTGGTTTCAAGGGAGATAGAAAAGTCAGAATCTGACCCCTTTGTCCTCCATAGAATAAAAGAAGGCTGATGGGAAATGCTGTTAATGTTGTTGCCATAACATCCCAGGAAGATAAGACATTTCCAAATGTTGAACCAACATAGAGACTTGTGAAAGTTAAAAAGAAAACCTCTAAGGATTACACACCCAGTTCCAGGTCATAGATGACCACATTAGGTAGCTCACAATGGGAATGAACTTGAAATTCATGTGAGAAGCTCCAAGGAACAGTTTTGCTGTGGCTGCAGAGGAAGCCCTGTCCTGCACTGTCAACAGTCTTTCCACGTCCTGATTCTGTATATAGAGGATTCCCCCTCTTTTTACATATTTTACCTATTTTATCATTCATATGATCACATATGAACGTAGAAGTTGTCATTGACAACATTTTAATGAACTGACTACTTACAAAGTAAGTAGCTCAAAAGTTCAAAAAGTCCAAAAGTCTCTATGCAGTTGAATTCTTATTTTGGTCAATCTTCCTAAATACGGTGTTTGTTTTGACACAGCACAGTATCATGGCAAAGCGAAAGATAAATGTTGGGAAAGACACAGACTTTCCTGAAACTGAAAAGTGCTGAGGGCTTCCTGGAAGTTGACAGATGACGACTCAGCTAAATTAACATGGGAGAAGGGCAACAAAGGTTGCCTCAGTACAGGTTGCCTCAGAAGATGAGGATTAGAAAAGGAACTAGGAGAAGAGGTCATTGGTGAAATGAAGTGCACCTTGAAAACTGTTCACAAAAATTGCCATTTTTAACCCATCAAGTTCCAAGTCTTCAGTTCTACAAGTATTTCAACAAAATGGACACTGGTTGAAAAATAGATTGAAAATTATGATCTTGAGCTTATATATCCTTCATTTATTTTCGTATGCATGTATGAAGTGCATATTTGTGTGTGTGTGTTTTCAAATGTTCTAATGGTTCACCTATTACTTTTCTCAGAAGAATAGAACTCTAAAAACACATGATAAGTGGTGTATTTGTTGCTCGATTTAAGTTTTTGTTAAGTGTTCCATATCTGAGATGATAGAACTTACAGATTAAGATCGGGCTCTGAAAGTCAGCTGTGAAGTACAAGATATTATACTGTCAAAATCACAGTTTGGTGCAATCCACTTTGATTCATTCTTGTCCATTAAATCATTGCCTAGTCATTGCAGTGCTAAATTCTGTTGGTTTTTGTTTTTGTGTGGGTGCTAGGGATTGAACAACCCAGGGCTTTGCTCATGGCAAACAGTGCTCTACCACTGAGCTGCCTCCCTGCCCTAAATTTTGTGAGGCATAAAACCTTCACAAGTTTGATCTTCAGCATCACAAAAAAATTAAAATTCAAAAACTCTCCTGAGTTTTAATTGTATCATTTCAAGATATAGTCACAATCAAAACCTTTTCCACTGCTTCTTATGAAACCTTTTTCTTTACTTTAGTTTCTCTGTAGCATTCCTCAATATGGACAGCCCTTGATAACAAGGACCTCCTATACTTGACATATGAGCATTTTTAACAATTGCTTCCTCACCTATTTCTATCAGTTTTCAGGCACTGTTGTCTTTTCTGGAAAGTAAAACAAGTGGCACAATTCCTGTAGGGAAGATGTCATAATCAGCGTAAACAGTATGAAGGTATCTGTATTGCCATTGTTACACAAAGGCAGGAACAATATCCCATAGCATTACGGAAAATCAAGTACCACAGTAACAACCTCAGCTCCATCATGTTTATTATCATACTACTTATTTGCTGAAAACAACAACCATTTTTTTAAAAAATGTATCATGATCCTGTGGATTAGGAATTTGGACAAGGCACAGAGGACTGGCTTGACAGGAATTTCCAAAATGGTCTCTTCCTTACATGTCCAGCACCTCTACTAGGAAGGCCCAAAGAGGTGGGCAGATTGGAACAGTTCAGCCAGGGCCACTTGGAGACACCTGTGTTCACTGTGGGCTGGCTTCCTTGAGTCTCCTCCATCAAATGCCAGGCCTCTCCCTCTGGCACAGCCTGTCCGCTGTAACACTACCTGTGATCTCGCCAGCAAGATAGCTCAGAGCTCCCAGAGAACAAAAGGACATTGCCAAGCCTTGATCTTGGACTTTTAATCTCCAGAAATGTGCGAAAATAGATGTTTATAAAATAGTTTCAGCCACCCAGCCTGTGGTGTTTTGTTATGGCAGACCTAGCAGATTAACATACAAGCTCAGATTCAAATGGAAGGGGAATGAGGCCCACCCTCCTGGGGAACAGCATGACTAACTAGATAGCAAGGACTTGTTGGTAGCCATATCTAGAAAACTAATTACCACAGTAACGTGATCAGGTTGCTTTTCTAACCCTCGGCACTAAGAAAAATGACCTTGGAGGGCCAAGCACACAAGCCTGCATAAGGAGGGTGCCTGCATCTGGGAGAAGACAATAAGAAATAGACTGATAAAATTACCTACTCCCAGAATTTTCTGAAACCTCTTAGAGTGCAAGGAATTATTTAGCTTTTGTCCTTCTCACTTTGTTCTCTTGTTGTCCCTGGGCCATCCCTCTGTCATCTCTTTCACCCCTGCTCTCTGCACATTGGTTATGGGAGGACACTAAGAAAAGAGATATCAGCAGTTTTGTTGACTTGTCTCTGTGATACAGAAGATGCTTAGAAAATACAACCTGAGCAGCCATGAGATGCTCAGATTTTGATGTGTTCATAATGGCTTTTTGTTGGATGATTGTTGCCCCCCCCCCGCCCCTCCCAGTGAAGTCTTTTTTATTTATTTTTATTTTTATTTGGCTACTACTGTCCTTCTTTCCCTGCTTCCCCTCCATCAACTCTTTCTTGTATGTTTTCTCTGTTTGTAATGGCAGATTTAGGGCTTTTAAATCTTACTTGTTTTATAAAGTGGGAGCATCCTATTACTGTTTCTGCAACTTACTTTTTCCATTCAATAAAACAGCTCTCAGAAATCCTCCATGTCAACTAATAGAGCTCTAATTCCTTCTTGCTAAGGGCTGCTTTAATTACATTTTCTTATAATAGTTATTTACTTTGTCTCCAAATGCTGGTGGTGCTTCAAGAAGCATCTTTGGACCTATATCCTTATGTGTTGGTGTTTATATTTCCAGAGGGTAGAATTCTAAGCGCGAGATCACTAGATTAGAAGAATGTGCATCTTTAACTTCAGTAAATGTTGCTGGTTCATTTCACAGAAAGACTAACAATTCACATTTCATCAATAATGTACATCTCTAATCCCTACCCAGAGAAATATTACTATTCTTTTAACTAGTGCCAATCTAATATAAGTAAAATGATTTAGGGGCACTTGCTTTAATTCATGGTTCCTTCACTCCTGGTGAATTAAAGAGTTTTTCATGAGTTGTCATGTGGATTACTCTTTGTGAATTACCCCTTTGTACTCCTCTCCATTTTACTGTTGTGCTGTTAGCTCTGCCTTATCAGCTTGTGAGATCCCTTTGCATGTTTCAGAAATCAATCCTGTCTGCCCTCTGCATTTCACCTCTGTCTTCCAAAGCATTTGTCATACAAAAGTTTTTAACTGTTATCTGCTGAAATATGTCTTTTAGCTTCTGGATTTCCTTCTTGCACTTGCATCCTAGGAGATGCCACTTTACTAGATCACCCAATGCAAGCAGAATACCTTTCCCAACAGAAGACTACTAGTAAAGCCCTGTACTGACAGGTGACTATCTGTTCTTTACCTTGGCTATGCACTGTAGCTCTGATTTTTCCCCCCTCTGGGTTTGTCTTCCCAACTGTATTTCAAGAGCTAAAAGGAGCAAAAACCACTTATTAAAACCCTTCTATGGTGATTTATGCACTTGCCATGCTGAGATAAATATTGTTCACTTCCTATTTATTTGCTTCAGTTTTGCACAAGTTCCAGCCACGCTCCATTCCTTTTATGATACTGACTTCACATCACAATCATCTGAGGAGCTTCTTTAAAAAAACAGATGCTTAGGGCAGCCTATAACCTAATTGGCAGAGACTCTAAGGTCTAGATAATTCTGTTATACAGCTGGTCTTGAGAACCTCTTTACTGGAAGGTGATGTGCTTAAACATCTTCATCTCCACCCAGGCAAAGAAGTACTTAGCATGGAGCAGTTGGGTAGAGGAAATTGATCCTAGCCTTCAGGAACTTTCAGAAGAATGGTCTGTTGATAAAACTGCAGTATTTAGTATGCAAGTATGATCTAACCAGCCTGAGACATGCATTGGAATACAAAAGAAATGAGTAATTGATTCAGCTAGCAGTGCCAGACGCCTAAGTGCTGCATCATATGAAACTTTTGGACCAGTTTGATGTAGCATTTATCAATTATCACAAGATTTTGTAGAATCTGGCGTTTGTAATTTTAAAAGGAATCTTGGACCCGTTTATACCCAATCTTATAATTCCATTGGGAAAATTCCTCAAAATGATGTCCAGAGCTCTATTTATAGTATTTGCAGTTATTTGCTAAAATATGAAACCATGGGCAATAACTCATGCAGTTAGAGTGCATTGGAATCACAAATGTCCATGACTCCTTCTTGCCCAGAGATGAGTTGATGAACTGTATCCTATCTTTTCTCATGAGAAATAAATAAAGATCTGGGAAAGAGGCCTAGAGTGTTAACTTAGCAAAATCAGTCCACACAGCAAACATGAAAGATAGAGGATAATGCCCTTCTCCCCATATCAAGAATTCATTATCTGTTATATTTTTATGGAATTTGAAAGAAAAATATTATGTATGTGTTTCAAAAGCCTACACACATGCTTCCTTAAAAAATAGAGATTTAGCTCACTTTACTTTTTTGGATACAGGTTCTTTAATGGAGCAACCAGTCAGTCTGCAAACCTGGTTTCATTTGATGCTCTACAGACCCTAGCTCTGAAGCCAGTTAACTCATCCTGTTGTCCAGGTTTGGGCTAGCTAGTCACCCTCATGATGCTGGACTTCCTGGCTGAGAACAACCTCTGTGGCCAAGCAATCCTGAGGATCGTTTCCTGTGGCAATGCCATTATCGCTGAGCTGCTGAGGCTGTCCGAGTTTATTCCTGCTGTGTTCAGGTTAAAAGACCGAGCTGACCAACAGAAATATGGAGATATTATATTTGATTTCAGCTATTTTAAGGTGCTCTCTCTTTCTATTGCATCTGTATTGCTGTCTTTTCTCTAAAAGCATGCTTTTCTTTGGGAACCATTCTTAAGAGGTCGGGGAACTATAGAGAAAGAGTCAAAGAGGACAACTTTTGAACCAAAGTTAATATTATCTTTCAACTTGAAAATAAGATGCAGGCATTGTGTAGAAAGCAATATAATAAAATTTTAAAAGATAATTTTGGCATAATGTATTTCACTTTGAAGTACTCACACTTAAAAGCATGCTAATCTTGGTTGCAATTCAAGTTCATTTCTTTCAAAGGGATTTGTATCTAGGCTTCTGTTGTCCTCATTACTTTCTTTTGCTCTGCTTTAAATTTTTGATAGGTAAGAAGAAAGGAACAGGGCTGGGGTTGTGACTCAGTGTTGGAGCGCTCACCTAGCATGCATGAGGCACTGGGTTCGATCCTCAGCACCACATAAAAATAAAATAAAGATATTATGTCCACCTAAAACTAAAAACTAAATATTAAAAAAAAAGAAGAGAGGAACAAATTTTTAAAATACTATTTAGAGATTGTTACCAACAAGGACACTTTCATTGGTATTTCACATAAATGTCTCTGTGTTTTGGATTTTTTTTTTCCTTAGGGTCCTGAGTTATGTGAAAGCAAATTGGAAGCTAAGCCGGAGCTCCAGGATTTAGATGAAGAATTTCGGGAAAACAACATAGAAATTGTGACCAGATTTTATTTAGCATTTCAAAGTGTACATAAATATATTGTAGACTTAAACAGGTATTGATTGCTTTAGTAAATAGCTCATTCTGGTAATAAATAGGTGAGAGGGAGAAGGGACCCAGTAGAATATGTACGTTTTTCTGAGTTACTGTAAAATTTACTCATTTATGCCATATGTATTCTTTTCCTTCCCGGGACACTGGGCTTCTCCTAAGACTTGAAACTATTATAGATCCCCCCAAAGCACACACCAAGCCCCTTGTCTCCTCCCTGAGCTTTCTCACTCTCTGGTCAGCTCTTCCATCTCACTCTGGCCTGACAGGGCCCAGGTTTTATTATAATATCCTGCTCTTGGGAGTATCATAAACTTGGTTATACCAAGTCATACAGCTTTCAGCCCTCTAGATTTTTCATCATACTCTAGCATATTATATAGAAGTGAAAAGGGGTGAACTTGCTTATTTTGTAAGTTCACTTTCTGACTCTCTATAATTCTTGAGAGTTTATTATTCATTAACCTTTAAACAACTTTTCAATGTTCCTATGTACACCTAAGATACTTATAATTCATGATCAGGACTAAGGAATATTCCTTTTGTGTGACATTTACAACCATAAATAGCAACTTGTGGCCCTAAATCACTGAATTATCACAGATCATAAGACACTAAGGTTCTTAAGAGCATGAAGGGCCATAAACTAGTTAAAGCCAGAATGTCTGATTCCCTGCCTTATTTTTAAAAAATCTTTCCTTCTTCAAAGATGTTGAAGTTTCTATTGTACATGAATAAGTTGCTCTGGGTTTTCTTTTCTAGATATCTAGATGATCTCAATGAAGGTGTTTATATTCAGCAAACCTTAGAAACTGTGCTTCTCAATGAAGATGGAAAACAACTTCTAGTAAGTAATTCTGAACACATAAAGTAGAAATGCAAGAACAGAAACTCTTTACTTCCCCTATAAGTCGCAAACACATATAAAATGTCATTCTTTAAAAAGAAGCCAATAACCTGATAATTATCTTTTAGCTAGCAAGTTCACACATGAGTTTAGAACATAGACAGTGAATAAAATTATAAATGAATAAAGGATTCAATTATAATGTGGAGGTTATGAACTTCCTTAGAAAGAATTCTATCTTCTTTACCTTTTGCATCCCAGACATCTAGTCTGATACCTAGTACATACTAACCAATTAAAAAATGTTATTAAATATGTGAATGACTTTATGATGAAGAGGTATCAGAGTATTGGGATTTCACTTTGGTATCCCAAGCAAAATCTAAAAAAATAAGCCAATGGAAAGATAATCACTATGAATTAAAATTTGTTTTGAGTAAATTCTCAAAGCCCATTCTGCATGGAAGGTGAGAACCCTTTGCAGAAAACTTACATTTTCCTTGAAGTATAAAGGACCAATTAAACCAAAGCTGTCTTTTTCACCATTGTCATCTTTGCTCCTTACAAATGAATACTCCTGCGAGTTGTCCACTATCTTTTCTCTTCATAGTGTGAAGCCCTGTACTTATATGGAGTTATGCTGCTGGTCATCGACCAAAAGATTGAAGGAGAAGTCAGAGAGAGAATGCTAGTTTCTTACTATCGATACAGGTATCCCTGGGCTAAGCTTGCACGCCCCAAACCCCATTACTGGTGAAATGTGGTGTATGTGCTCATAATACTACTGGGAACAGTGGCAATGTGGTATAGAATGTAAAACATATGTAGGAATATAGCAGTTACTTAACATTTTACATCATAGTAAATGATTATGCATCAAATAACTTGTATATATAAAAAATAGTACTATAGATTATTAGAGATAAAAAGATTATCATGTCTATCATAGTAACTCAATTTTTTAAAAAAGGGAACCTGAATTCTGAATTGTCTATCTCAAGGATAGGTTTCAAAGAACTATAGAAGTCTTACGGACTATTTTTTCTGTATTTACTAAGTTTTCAAATATGCCTTCTCAGCAGACATAAACAAATGAATTTTCTGTTGTCATTTTCAAGTCAGTGACTGAAAAGTTATCATTCAAGATAAGGTTGAAACTGAATTCTCACCCATATATACATAGACACAAAAACAACATGCAGTGCTCATCCAGGATCTTGTGTTATGTGTGTCTGTTCAGAACTGTGAGTCTTCGGGAAGTAGAGTCTTGAAAACAGAAGGCCCCTCACCAACTTTTTATTTTCATTATCCAGAGTACAGTTCAATGAATAAGTCAGAAAGTAGACACAAGGTCCATGCACGAAATAGATTCAGGAAAGAAATAGTCAGTAACCAGAAATCATTTAAGAACTTGGGCTAAATAAATGAGGAATAAAATTAACATTTTCAAACTTACAAATTAGGACAAAATAAAAAGAGCAAGAGAAACAGAACAGAAAGGAAATTATTCAAGACTTTTCTCTTTTTTTTTTTTTTAATATTTGCTTTTTAGGTGTAGATGAACACAACACAATGCCTTTTTTATTTTTATGTGGTGCTGAAGATCGATCCCGGGTCCTGCCTGTGCTAGGCGAGGACTCTACCACCGAGCCACAATCCCAGCCCCAAGACATTATATTTTCTGTAATATTGTCTCCTTAGCTATAAATTCATCTGAGGCTTCTCACCTCATCTGCTTCTTTTCAGCTTTTTTGGTATCTGAAGGAAGTATTTACCAGTGTGTGTCATTCATTCACATTGGTTTGATCATAAGCTGTTGTAATATCCATGTTTTTAAAAATGAAACTTGAATAACCTTGCCTACATTTCTGAAAGTACCTAGAAAAGTGAAAGCAATTTGTAATGTAAAGGAGAAGAAAAAAATGCCTGTTTAACAAGCCCAGCTTTGAAAACAGACATTGTTCCTGTAGGCAGCACAGCTAGTTCATTAGAACATGAGTGCCCATTTTTGAAGACACCCTGAGCGATTGCAGGTCAGTGTTGTGAAGGAGGTACTTCCAACAAAGAGCAGGTCAGTTCAAGTCCAAGATTCTTTGAGTCTAGCTCACTTCTTTTAGAGTTCACTCTTCTACCCTGAAAATTTCAGGTATTTTTATTAATCCCTGTCAAGAGATCAGCATGCCAAGAAAAGCCAGTTAAAATATATACCACTTTAAATTGAAATAATTAAAAAATGTTTTTGATTTGTATAATGTTAGTTTGGTTTCATGTTCTTCATCGATAATTCTGAAAATCAAAGAGCTCTGAAGAAATCTTCATATATGAATGTACAGACACACAGTAACACATTTGGCAGCCAAAGCTGATCTGACCTGAAATTGTTTAGAGTCAGAACCTACTCAGAACAGAGATGAGGCAGTTTCACTAATCTTGGTCTTGTGAATTTTTATAAATTTTATTCCAGAACTATTAAACATGTGTCAATTGTGGTATGTCAACTTGAATCCTGCTGCAGTGTTGTATGGCATATGATCAAATCATATGATTTTCATATATTTGAAAAATACTGTATTCTGAAATAAATCCAGCCTCAAGGATTTTAGGAAAGAAATTGTTGACTTTACTTAGGACTAATACTTACAGACTTGGGGACATGCGAGTTTCTAACGTGTGTGGTTTTATTTCCCGTTGTGAATGTGACAGTGCGGCCCGATCTTCTGCTGATTCAAATATGGATGATATTTGTAAGCTGCTGCGAAGTACAGGTTATTCCAGCCAACCAGGAGCCAAAAGGCCACCCAACTATCCCGAGAGCTATTTCCAGAGAGTGCCTATCAATGAAGCCTTCATCAGCATGGTCATTGGCCGGCTGAGATCAGACGATATTTACAATCAGGTGGGAATTAAGTCTAGTAGGACCTTAATAGTTTAAAAAGACTGAATTCACTTTCTTCCTCAGTTAATCCTTTCCTTCCTTCTTTTCAAAAAGAGTAAAACAGCATCTAGAAATGATTTCTTAACACCTTTTAAGCTAGGCTGTAGGATAGAGGAAGGAAGGATGTTAATTCTGGGAGAAGCAGAAATTTCAGGGAGAAGATGGGATCTGAGCAATTGGAAAGAAGATTTATTCTTTCAGTCACTCATTCAAGAAATTTTACGTGGTTCATGCCCATTCATGTGCTGGGTGCTCAGGATGTGTCACTGAAGAAGACAGGCCATGGGCCCTACCCATAACAAGAAAGTAACTTAGGGGGAAAGGTTCCCAAGGAAGGAATTACAGTGAAGCAAGTTGAGTATTGTCTTAGGGGAAGCACAAGGTGCCACTGGTGCATGGAACAGTGACAGCAAGACTACAGCAGGTGTCTTAGGGGAGGGTGACGGGAGTCCAGGCAAAGTTTGCAGCCTGAGCAGGGCTGGAAAGATCCTTTGGTTTGAAAGTTCTCTCAGCTGTCCTTGCCAGGGGGTATATGACTCATTACTTAAATGAATACCAAAGAAAGTTACCATTTGCCTCCATTGTTCTGAAGAACAATGAATTATATATTTTTACTACTGGAAAGGAGTAGAGCTGGACCTAGGATGACTGGATATCACCTATACAAACCTGCTTTCAAGGGTCCTTTAGGTAGCCTGTTAGTTTTTGTATCAATATGTTAAGTCTAAATAAGATTATTTTCTTCTCCAGACAACTTAAAATTAGAGGATGCCCACAGATGCCAGGCCTTCCTAATATTTAAGGATATTCACTAAGAAGTCAATCTAAACCAGCTTCATAGGAAGTTTTTTCACATTCATTTTCATTATTTTTCACGGTCCTACAAAGTAGATGATGCATCATCCCCATGTGCCTCCTGAGAAAAGTAAGCCTTGGAGAGCTTAAATCATATTTCACAAAGTCACGTGACTAGAGAACAGGCACAGTTGCTTTCAGGTCTGTGTGAATTGAACCTGAAACCTGTGCTGTTTGCCTCTTTACATCAGTCACTCATTATACCTCTGCCTCCTTCTTGGTTCATTTTGTCTGTGTCTTATGGAAACATGTTTCAATTTTCTCCTTCCCTGTGACGCTCGTTAACAAAGGACTGTGCTCTGTGTTACCCCTCTCTGTCGTGTATGTCCCCCATCTCTGCTCATGGTTCATGGAGCCAATTCTCTGTCTCCTAGTAATTTGAAATTGGACCTGAAAAAGTCTCTGCCTGAGGGTTTAAATATTTCACTAAAAATAAGCACTGTGCAAAGTTTGGAGTTTGAGGGCAGCCTCATCCAGCCAAGTATGTGAAGAACAGTCTGGAGAGGAGAAAGTTGAGCAGACACATCAAGGAGAAAAAGAGTGAAGACATTGTAAATGCTCTTCCTGTGGCCTGACCACATTCCTGCCCACAGGATCCATACAGCATGGCTGTGTCTATGATAATGTGTCCCCTTTCTGCTTGTGCAACTCAAAATGATAGGTGCTCTCTGCAGCCAAAGCTTCCTAATACTTGAGGGGAGGGTCTCTGGGGAACTTCAGCTTTTAAAAGGCTGAAAAAAAGGGCTGAGCGAATCACCTTGAGATGGGGTGATATCTAAAAAAAATACAATTTTCCAGTTGTATCTAGAAAACCAAAGGAGAGAATTCCACCCTTCAAGATTTAAAGTGAGAATTCTAAAAGGCAGCCATTGAATTGGACTAGGAAATTCATTGGCATGATTAATGGTAGAGGCCAAGTTTCAGTGAGTTGCAGATCAGGGAGTAATAAAATAGCAACAGAGTCTGTCAGTTTTAAGGATTGTCTCTGCTGGAAAAGACACAGACATGGACAGCTTGTGGGCGATGCCAGGTTAGGACTTTTTTTTTTTTTTTTTTTTTTAGGAAATTACATAGAATGGTAGCAGAGTCAAGGGTTGAAAGGAACAGAGTATTATGGGGTTATAGATAAGAAGGAAGACCCTGGATACAACCTGAGAATTGCTTCCAGTGTGCCCATGATCTTGAAAGATGGGCTTTTGGAACACTGTTGATTCCCAGAACAGATAATTGAGTTCAAGCATGAGTACCTTCAGATGTCACCAACACTTCCCTCTGGGGCTTGCATTACAGGTCTCAGCATATCCCTTGCCAGAACATCGCAGCACTGCGCTGGCAAATCAAGCCGCCATGCTGTATGTGATTCTCTACTTTGACCCTTCCATTCTTCACACCCATCAAGCAAAAATGAGAGAGATCGTGGATAAATACTTTCCAGATAATTGGGTAAGTATTACTGATTTTCTTTCTCTCTCTCTCTCTCTGGCAAATTTGTTGCAGAACCAACTTTCTAGTCTTTTGGCCTTGAACTCAGAGGTCAATATGTTGTAAATAATGGGACATAAGGTCACTTAGGCAAAACTACTTTAAGAATGTTGAAAATGTAATAAATCATACCGTAAAGGACTAAATCAATCAGTAAAATTTCCTAACAAACCCATTAGTATTTTCTTTAAATGGATACTCTCAAGGCAAAATGATGTGTTAAAAATGTGTCTTGCTGTAGCTACTGAGAGTGCAACTAAGTTACATGAGGATTTAAAAATTTTTTTTCTATTTTATGGATCTAAGCTAGTAAAATTAGTATCTAATTGGTTGTTTTTTGAATAAGAATTTCACTTTTATAATAAGTTTTATTTACAAGATGACTGTAGTAGAATTATTAAGATATTAATATTTACATTACTGCATAAACATGTCACTGAATAATATTAACTCTTAAAGGAATGAAACTGACTTAACATACCTAATTAATACAAAATGTTTTTCCTGCACAAAGAGGTTTTATCAAAGTGCAATGAGTTGAATTATATTCTCAGGTAGCAGATTTATTTCACTTCTTATTACTGAATCATACTATCTGTCATTAGAAACCTTTAATTTCCTGACAATATAAAAAGAACCTATAATTAGGAGGTGATGGTTCCTATCCACCCATGAATTATACTTACGAGCTCAGAATTGAATAACCAAGAGAAAAACTGGTAGTATTGCTTCATGTTCCTAAGCTTAACAAAGAAGTTTTGATCATACTATAATTATAAGCATATTTAGTATTAAGGAAAGTCAAAGTCCAGTTATATGTTACCTGTTATATATACACCTAAAAAAACACTCTGCCACAAACACCTGACATCCAGGGTTAAAAAAAAGATATTCCAGGCAAATATCAACCAATAAAAAAATTAATGAGAAAATATCATACAAAAGAAAATGTTAAAGAAAAACATGAACACAGATTTTTAAAGTATCATTTATAATATTAAAAGGAATGATCCATTGAGGTGAATTAACAGTCATGAATTTATATACAGTCAATAACATACTCAAAATATATAAAGCAAAAACTCATGGATTCATAAGAAAAAATGGACAAAATCATAATTATGGTGGAAAATTTCAGTACATCTCTTATTATATAATTTTGTTTTCCCAAAACTATGTACTGAATGTTCTATATATATTGAAAAGGACACATATGTGAAAATTGGATGTATATCATGAGGAAAGTCAACAAAGTTAAAAACGAAAAAGGTTTTTGATCGCCTGTATTTTTATCCTATGGTGTGACTAAATTAGAAACCAGCATTAAAAAGAGATTTTTAAATGTTTGGAGGAAAGTACACACCCAAATAACTCTTGTGTTAAAAGAGAAACATAAAAAATATTTAGCATTGCCCAGTATCAAAGTGCTATGAAACAAAGCTGTGCTCGGTGGTTAAAGATGCTTTTAATAGAAATGTGTAACCCTATGTACATTACCAAAACCAAGGAAGAGTACAAATAAATGGGTCAAACATTAAGTTCAAGGTGTTAGAAAAAGTCAAATAAAAGATAGTCAATAAATATGTGAGCAGACATTTTTTTGAGTTAGAGAAAAAGGAAAGGAGGAAACCAACACAATCAAAGCTAGTTTTTTGAAGAGCTATAAAATAGATATTTACCAAAACTGATGAGAGTGCAAAAATGCAATGTTAAATGTTAAGTTTGGAAAAGAAAACCTAAGGTACGAGAAAGATTTTTTTTTTATTTTTTTAAAGATTTTTTTTAATTGTAAGAAAATCTGTGAACAATTTTATTAATACATTTGAAAATGTAGAATAAATGGATAATTTATTATTTGAATTTGACTCAAGAAGGGAAAGGAAATATGAATAGACCAATATTAAAGAAATAGAGTTGGTGATCAAATCTCACCACCAATCAACTGCCCCCCCACATACACACAGAAAAAAAGACAACCCCCAGGATTCATTATTATTTTAAAATTTGTTATTATTTTAAAATAACTGATAAATGCTTTTAAATTTCTCAGTTTGAATATGATAAATATCCATAGGATTTTTTTAAAACTTCTAGGAATCCTCAACAATTTTCATGAGCATAAGGGATAGAAATGTTTGGGAAACCTGCTGTAGTCAAAGTCATTGTTTTGTGTCCCCTCCCTAGTGCACCCCTTTTTCTTTTCCCTGTAGGAATCTAACACAGAGCAGTTTGAACGGAAACTTTTTTGTTGTTTGCCATAGTCTGGCTGGGCACAATTCAGGAGCCACTTATCCAGCAGAAACGAACTTTATTTTTAGAACACACAGGATGCACCACATGAGCTCTTCAGGAATTCCCTCAGAGCCCAACTGCCACCACTAGCTTCCCACAAACCTCTCAAACCCCCCCACACTCCTCCTGCTCTTGAGGCCAATTGGCTGGGTCGCGTGGGCGGAGCCAAAAGAGTCCCCCAATGAGCAGCTTCGTGGTCTGAAAGGGCAGGGAAACAGCCCAATGAGCATCACTGCAGAGGAGCCAATCAGCTAGCAGCTGGAAGTTTGCTGGGGCTGCTGTGAGCCAATCATCAGCTGGCAGCTGGAAGTTTGCTGGGGCCACTGTGAGCCAATCATCACCTGGCAGCTGGAAGTTTGCTGGCAGCTGGAAGTTTGCTGGGGCCCCTTCTGCTGTGGCTCTCAACATCTCCCCCTCTCTGTTTAAACAACAAGCATGTGGCTTAGGGACCGTGCCTGCCTTAGGTTGGCCAATACTACATATGGTCCTTACCCGTCATCAGATGAACTGACCTTAAGGCGTCAGCCTCCTGTCTTAGGTTGGTACCATTGCAATTGGATCTTACCGGTCATTGACTACTGGTCCAGCATACAGCCACACCTGTGAATAGGTCTTTGTACCAGCGTGGGGGTGAGGTTCTTTGCCTCACCTCTGTTGGCCCCCAGATTTTAGCTGAACGACCATCACAAGCAGAAAGGAGGAGCATACACCAAGCCAAATGAGCATCACCGCAGAGGAGCCAATCAGCTAGCAGCTGGAAGTTTGCTGGGGCCGCTGTGAGCCAATCATCAGCTGGCAGCTGGAAGTTTGCTGGGGCCCCTTCAGCTGTGGCTCTCAACAGTTGTTATTTTTTCATATGTAGCAACCTTGTCACTCTTGTTCCAAAATGCTCATAAGGAAGTTTCCTTACTTGTGTATATGGAAAATCTTGGGTTTTCATTGATGTGAATTCAAATTAGAAAGAGAAAACAGTGTTTTATGCAACTTCATATTTTCCCAACCCCTTGCCTGGAAGTGAACAGATATTGAACAAATACTGAATGAATATCTCCTCTTTCAGGTAATTAGTATTTACATGGGAATCACAGTTAACCTAGGAGATGCTTGGGAACCTTACAAAGCTGCAAAAACAGCTTTAAACAATACCCTGGACCTTTCAAACGTCAAAGAACAGGTAGGTTTTGGCTAATTAGGGAGAATCTCCTCGGAACTGCTAAGCTGGCTTATGAAGGAGGAAATGAGCTAAGTAGATTTCCCAGGGCATTTTAAAAATGTCCACATAGACATTTTAGTACATGACTAATGGAAAGTAAAATTTGCATTTTAGAATAAGATAAAATAATTATATGTTTTTAACTTATGTGGTATAGTAAATTGTAGACTTCGGTCCTCAGAAAGGTTGAGTACCCTAAGATGAATCACTGAAATATAAGGCTCCAACTGACTGTTTAGTCTTGCTTAAAGATCAGGTCCTGTAGACATAGCTAGTTTCACCAGTGGCTGGGATTAAAGTTTTTTTTATTAGTAGGGTCAATGCCAAAGATGGTAATTGAATGTAGATAATACTCTGTCACTATACTTTACAGTGGTCATCATTTCTGAGGTACTAATTAGCTTATTTAAGCAATAAGACTGAAGACTTTCATTTTTTAAGTTTAGTGGCTATATCCTGTCTCTTTGATAAAAGCACTAGGCAGAAGGAAATATTTGAGTCAATGCAGAGATGAAAATAATATTAAGGTGTATATTTGATACTTCTGAATGACTATATTCCCAACCAGGCTGTCTATGTTATTGAGTTTCCAGTGTATAAAAAATAATATTCTAAAAACTTTGTCATGTTTTATTCAAATAAATTGAATTCCATAAGTAATGTACAAAATGATTTCAGTTGGCATATATCCTAGAAATCTATCAGAGAAAGTGGCATTTCCATAATTCCTGACATCAGAGCTTTAATTTTTCATGACTAAAGCTCCTTTCCAAAATTGCATTTTTTCCACTGGTATTATTTTAAGAAGTTTCTTGATAGTTTTAAACTAACTTGGCTAGTTTAATAATGTTTAACATTTGTTTCTTGATTTAGTAAAACAAAATGACCAAATTTCTAAAAGCCTTATTTATTTGAAAATTCAATTTCGGTACACTGAGTTGTGTTTTCTTATTAAGGTTCATATGCCTATAGAAGTCTCATCTTTTGACTGTATCTGCTATACGCTGCCTCTTTTATCAACAATAATAGGACAGGCAATTTATCTTTTGTCTTTATTCTTCTTTTCCATTCAAGTTGAGAATAGAAGGAATCAGAGAAGCCACCTGGTCCAGTTCTCCATTTGACATTTGAAATGGAGTATGCAGAGGCTAAATCCAAAGTCACCCAGTGTTCTTTTCAAAAATGCCCAATAAACCAGTTGCCCTTGAGCCTTATTAATACAATCAATATGTTATTCATTTCACATTGAAATGTTATTATCAGAAAGAGAGGGAGGTAGGAAGGCTGGATATTATTTTTTAATTATCTAATTGAATGTGATTCATTTTTAAGATAAATAACTCTCTAAAATGTAATTTGAGTTGTTTCTCGCCCCCATAGGCAAGTAGATATGCTACTGTCAGTGAAAGAGTACATGCTCAAGTACAGCAGTTTCTGAAAGAAGGTTATTTAAGAGAAGAGATGGTTCTGGACAATATTCCAAGGCTTCTGAACTGTCTGAGAGACTGCAATGTTGCCATCCGATGGTTGATGCTGCATACAGCAGACTCAGGTAATGCACAGAGGGGTGGCCATTTATATTGCTCCACATGAAAGTTTTCAGAATTAAAACTTTTTTCATCACTTTAGGATGAAAAGTTGTTTAGCGGGGAGGAGTGCCCTTGAACGAGAGCCAAGTTACTTTTTAAGCTAGTTATTTTTGTGTCAACTTGGATAAGACTGTGGCCCACCTGAAAAGCTCTTCCTTCAGGCAAACACCCCCAATGGATGCTGGGGTATATGGTGACATTTAGCTCCCACATTGAAGGAGCTTGTCAGCGGTCCTAATGTGTAGAACAGATACAGACATATAAAGATTAGTAACTGCAGATCTGTGGTAAGCAGAATAAGGCCTCCCAGGCACCCCACAGCGCGATGTCCATGTTCTAATCCCTGGAATTCGTAGATGTGTTATAACACATGGCAAAGGGAATTGAGATTGCTAATCGGCTGACCTAAAAATAAGGAAATCATCCCAGTGGACCTGTGTAATCACAAGAGTCCATAAATAAACAAGAGGGAGGCAGAAGAGTCAGAAACAGAGAGGTGGTCCCTGGAAAAAGACTTGACCAGCCATCACTGGCTTTAAAGATGAAGAGACCACAAGCCAGGGTTTGCAGGAAGTCTTTTTTTTTTTTTTTTTTTTAAGAGAGAGTGAGAGAGAGAGAATTTTAATATTTATTTCTTAGTTATCAGCAGACACAACATTTTTGTTTGTATGTGGTGCTGAGGATCGAACCCGGGCCGCAAGCATGCTAGGCGAGCGCGCTACCCCTTGAGCCACATCCCCAGCCCTGCAGGAAGTCTTTAGAGTCTGAAAACTACAAGAAGATTGGTTTTCTCCAGTTCTTCCAGAGGAGCCTAGCCCTACTGATGTCTTGATTTTAGCCCAGTGGGCCCTGTTTTAGATTTCTCAACTCTGAAATGTAAAAGAATACATTTGGGTTGTTTGAATCTTCAAAATTCATGGTAATTTGTTAGAGCAGCCAAAGGAAAGTGACACAAGGTCCCCGGCAGTAAATAAGAGCCAGTGTGTGAGACAGTGGGTATGGCTTGAGTCCAGAGTAGGGACTGCTTGGGGTAAGGGAGCAGAGGAGGTCAGGAAAGGCTCTGTCCACAGGAGGCAGGAGCTGGCCAGCCCTTGATAAGATTTTGAAATAAAAGGCAAAAGAAATTCTAGATTGCAGAAATGGTGGAATCAATGGTATGATTTTGGAAGGACAGAAAAATATATGGGCCCTCTTAGCTGAGGACCTGGCTAAACCACAGTGGTTATATAAGGTAAAACGGGACTTAGCCTTTTCTGGGCCATTGTCCCCTTTGAGACCCTCTATCCACACAGAGTTTGGTTACCAAGTTCAGGAATTTCACAAATTTGTGGAGTGCCCCCAACAGACCGTGAGCCCTGACTTTAAAACTTCTGCTTTAGTGGTAGAAAGATAAGTAAGTCAGACTAACACCTCTGAGCTTGTTCAGAGGTGGCACAGTTCTTTATGCTTAGAAAATGCTTCTTCAACATAAATGAATTCACTCGTCCAGGTCTGCATACTCCAGCCCCAAAGAGCTGTGTCATTCAGCAGCCCTCGAAAGCCCTCTGCTTTTTGTTTTTCATTCAACCAGCTTTTCTGGAGGGCCTGCCCTGACACAGCTACTACTTTCAACAGTTCATTGTTTTTTTTCAGATGAGACTGTGTTGCTAAAAAACTGTCCACACCAGATTATTCTTCAGCCTCCCTTAGTAGCATGGTAGCCCCAGCCTAACTACCTTCCAGTCAAGAAGCTCTTCACAGTGTGTTTCCCATCTGTTCCACTTCCTGGGAGTGGTCAGCAGTGGAAACAGCAATTGAACTTCCTCATCCTTCATCTCTGAAAGTCATTGGATTTCTCTGCAGCCTTCTCTCCAGCTTCATAAACCTTCCTGACAACTGCTTTCCAGGTTTTTGCATCATTTTCGATATTGGCCTAGATCCAGTTACAGTTTACCCACAGTATGAATCCTCTGGCTGAAGATCTTAATCATCTAATTGATCCGTTTTTAATTAGCTGGGTTTCTCATTTACATAAAAACTCATTTACTTTCAGGATTTTGGTAGAGTGACTCAGCTTACCCTCCCCTCCACCAGAAGTCTACCATTTATAAGCATATAAACAACTCAAGCCTCACTTTACCCTATCATAAAACCAGCTGTGGTTTTCTAATGACTCAGCCTCATTTTCATCTTCTGTGTGACTGTAGGAAAGTCACGCCTACGTTCTGGAAGCCAGTTGCCTCTTGGATCTGCAGCCATGCCAGGGGCAACACCAGCCTTCCAGGGGTCTGGGCTTTTATCTTCAGCCACATCTCTTTTCCATTTTTGTGCCTGGTAGTGTCTGACCTGATTGCACAAGGATGTGATTTACCAGAAACAAATGATTTGCCTATCTGGCTGAGTCAGATATGGGGGAAGTAACTGCTTATTTAGCTTCTATGGTGTTTCTGTCACAGTGTATAGAAGGCAGGCGGGTTCGCCTGTTGTCCCCTGTTAGCCCTCTGGAGGCATTTCCCCCAGACTTGGGCTGCTCCCACAGTGCCTTGCAGCTGGCGAGGAACACCCTGTGAGCAACATTGGATAAGCAAAGTAGACCAGCTGAAGAATCCTGACCCTGAGGTCACCGTAGTTCTAGGACCAGTTTCTGCAGTTCTCTGGACCTAATTTGTTGAGGGTCAGATGGGAAAGAGATGATCCAGCCATGGGAAGACTGGAACCAGCCCTGGTTTATACTAAGGAACTAAATGCTAATGCACATGGAGATATACAGTATATTTGCTTATCACCTGGATACTTCTATCCCCTATCCAAAAATGAAAGTAAATCATTATCAAAAGGTTTCTACTTTAGAATTAAGAGAAATAGAAATCCTGCATTTTAATTAAGAAAAGTAGAAATCCAAAATTCTTTTGGTTTTGTTTTTTAGTTAGGCAAATATGAAGCTGAACAGTTGCTTTTTGTGTAATTAGGGTTCACTAGCTCCAGTACATTTCTTCCCAGGGAGTTCTGAAGAATGCATGAGAAATCAGAACTCTGTAGTTTTTCACAAAAACTCATCCTGATGGAGTAACTTAAAAATCAATATATAAAATGGGCATCCATAGACTTCACCATAACTGAGACACCAGAAACTTCCCGTGGCATGATCACAACATGGTCCTGCTGTACCTGCCAGACATCTTGGGCTAATGGTTGGGTTGGGGATGGGGGCGCTAAGCAAGCAGGAGCATGCATGGGAAATTCTAGAGCAACTGACATGAATCTTGTGCCCTATTCAATTGTAAACTTTTTGGTAATGCCTATTATCGTCAAGTTTTTATTTTGACTTTATTTGCAGTCTAGATAGCTTTAGTTTATGAGTATCTTTGTTTTGTCTTACTTTCTTATTCTTTCTTAACTAATCGCCCCTATAAAACGATCTCAGCAAAATCGGCACTTTTATTCTTTTCTTTTCTTTTGACTTGTTTATTTTCTTTAACTGTTTTTTGACAACTGATAGGCTGACTGTGAATTGGAACATCTGCTGTTTTTTCCATGGGTCAGATACCTGCCTGATATTATGACCTTGGCCTAGTTGCCTTAGGGTCTGTGTGCTAGGTAGTAGATAGTCCAGAAAGGATCAAGTGTCTGTTGCGCCCTCTGGCCTTTTATAAGAAGCAGGATGGCCAAGGTCTGTTCTTCCTGTTTGGAGAAGCCATGTTCCATGTCCTTGTGGGTAATCCTGCTTCTGTCTTTTGTCAGATAGTCCCCAAGCCCACCCCCAGGCTCAATGATTCATTAAGAGGACTCAGCATATGGTAGTACTATCAGCTGCCATTTAATCCTTGCAACAGGACTGAAAGCAAAATGGCAAAGGAAAAAGGCACATGGGTAAAGGCCAGGAGAACCCAGGCACAAGCTTCCAAGGGTCGTCTCCCAGTGAAGCCGCTAAGGACCTGCTGAATTCCCCAGCAACAATTCTGACAATAAGTGGGAGATGTTGCCAGCCAGGCAATATGAGACTCGGCTTCCCAGGTTGTTTACTGGGAGCTGAACGTGGAGGTAGCCTCTGCCCAGCACAGGCTTCCAGAAGGAAAGCAGATGTTCAGCGTGCATCACATTGTGCAAACAGTTAAGGTCTAGTAAGCCATTCTTACCAGTACATGAAGTGGTGAGAACTCTTACCAAAATCCAAGTCTTCAGCTGCCAGCCAAGAGCCCGCCTTGCAAACATGCAAGTATTGGGCATGCCTGTCCACAACTGAATGGCATGTATTGGTGCCTAAACCAAAATCATCTCTAAACAGATAGGACTTAAGGAGCCCACCTTCCTATAAAGTGGTACCAGAAGGCTCTGCCCATTCATATTAAGTAGTTAATATAAGCCAACCCCAAAATTCTTATTAACTTTGGAAATTGTTTTATAACTTGCTTTTCTTTATTCAGGGAATGGCATTCTCTGTCAGATTCAACTGTTACTTAACTGTTTATTTATACTCTATAGCAATCTTTTTCACCACCTTCTATTGATAAGCATTGTCCTTAATACTTTTTAAATGCTTAAAATGAAGGAAAGTACTTAAGAATTTATTTTATTTCATAGGTATTTTCTACATATTTAATAAGTAGATACTTCTTTTTTTCCTGTTTCTAGCCTGTGACCCAAACAACAAACGCCTTCGTCAAATCAAGGACCAGATTCTAACAGACTCTAGGTACAATCCCAAGATCCTCTTCCAGTTGCTATTGGATACTGCGCAATTTGAGTTTATACTCAAAGAGGTAAAAATATTGAATGAATAATCATCACAGTCTTAGGTGTTTTTATGTTTAAAAATATCTTTAAGAAAAGATTAGGGATTAATTATTGTGTCACTGATTCAAGCTACAGCCTACTGTTGTTGAGTTGTGAAAAATGCACAGGATTGTGGACATTACAGTCTAATGAAGAATACAGACACTAATCAGAGAAATCACACTCATGAAAATATACAAACTGAGATTTGTGCTCTGAAGGAAAGGAACACAATTCTCTGAGTACCTAAAACAAAGGATCCCGGCCTGTGAGACTCCCTGAGAACAGAAAAGAGCTTCTGAAGAACCCTAGAGAAAGATCTGTCAGAGTTAGCTAAATAAGTAGGGAACATGTTGGAGAACATTTTAGGGACAGAAAAGCAGAGAGCCGTGCACCACATGACGCCATTTCTGTCACCAGTGGGCCACATATACCATGGCGGTTCCATAAGATTTTATCACCTCGTGACATTGCAGCCATCTAAGGTTTTGCCAGTGCACCCTGTGATGTTCTCACAGTCAGGAAATGGCATCACTAGGCACATCTGAGAACATATCCCTGTAGCTCAGCAGTACATCTCTGTGTCTGAGTCCTCTCGGCTAGGGGAGAGCATGGCCCGTTCAAGCCTGAAAGACCACTGCACTGCAGGAGAGAGAATAACAGACAAGTGATGCAAAAGGAGGCTGAGAGGTGGGCAGGAGCCAGCCCGTGTGGGACCTGGTGGGATTTGTCTTTATTCTAAGAGCCACAAGGACCTATTGGAAAAGGTGGGGAATTTACATTTAACAAGGAACTTATAAGAACTTTAAGGAATTTTTTGAGGTTGCTAAGGGAAATTCTATAGTTAGTCTTACCCCTAAAGAAATCTGAATCTGTATGGGCATGATAAAAGGGAGGATACCTGGAAGTGCCCAGGTTCTAAAACACTAACCTGGGGGTTTGAATCAGGTGCGCTTCAAAACTAGTCCTCACCTTGCCTTGGTCTGGTCAGTGGTACAGTAGATGCTTCTTTGTCTTCTAGGCATGGAAGAATGCTGTATTCCCCTACTAAATCGTTCTGAAGAAGTAGATGCTGATTATTAACATTTAGCATGTGCTAGATGTTTCCAGTAATTTTTACCTGCATATAATTTTGTAAGATCAGAAAAATGCTATCCCTTTTTGATCTACTTAATAATTTCAGTGTTTTATCTCTAAAAGCAAATAAAATTATTGAATACCTTCTGTTTCCAGGGAGCTGCTAAGAATTTAAAAATGAACAAGGCATGCCGTTTCTATCTAGGTGCTCTTAGTATAGTATGGAAGAAAGATAGAATAAACCTAGATAAGGAACCAGGAAAGGTCCAGAACAGTAACCAGGCATGGTCAAACACACCGCTGACCTTTCAGAGGCAGCAAGGTTTCCCTCAAGGAGAATGCCCTTGGGCCTGTTAAGATCATCGACCATGGCACCAGCGACCCACATCTGTTTGGTTCAGCGCAGTTGTGCAAATCAGGACAAGTGTGGGCCACTTGACTGACCAAGCCTGGACTTCTGAACCTAAGTTTGTTCTCTAGATTCTGCTGATAATATGGGCTACTTCCTTCTGTCTGCTCTGGTAGAAAAGAAAGAGAAAACAGCCTAAGGGGCTCATTGTGAAAGGACTTTAAGAAGAGAAAACTCTGGTAGATAAGAAAGACTCCCTGGTCCACAAGTCTCACCCAACACAAATTGAGCAAGGAAATGTTGTCTTTGAATTTGTGACATTTCAACTTCATTCTTTTATTTCCTCTCTCCTACCTCCCACCTCAAGTTGTTGTAGAGTCTGTCTTTGATTCTTCTGTAAACACAGTGATTGGACCTGTGTTTCTTCTAATCTTTATATGACAGTGTATTTCCCAACTCAAGGACAATCTGCCATCCCAAATTCTATCTTAGAAGATAAGAAACCTGTGAGTTCGGTAAGTGTTTGAAGGGCCTGAAGCCATTTGGTCTATCAGGAAGACCTCTGGTGACCTTGGGTTGCTGCTGTACTGCTGTGAAATGGCGTTGATTGAGCCCAGTACCCAGGAAGATAGAGTAGGCTCTTGTTTTCATCTGACAAATCAACCTGCTGGGTCATTAAGATTCCTCCTCCACAGACCCCACAACATCCCATCCAGCCTGGATTACCTCTTCTGAAGATGGACTCTCCCTCCATTGTTCATCTATTCAATTTGATTATAATGCGTAGGAATGAAGAATTTATTAAGAGGAAAATGAGCATTCATGCATATTTACCTTGTAAGAAGAGCCCAGTGAAAGAAATCCTGTACCTCTCTCTGAGACAGCATATCATTTAATGAAAAATAAGTTTCTTCCAGGGCAGAATCCTGAGTTACACCATTTTCTCCTCTTCCTAAGTCTTCACAGGTTTTAAGTTTTAGGCACAAATGAATTAATAAACAGAATTTTTGCTTAATATAATAAGAAAGAACCTCTGTGGTGGGTAATTTAGTTCATTACTTCATCATCCAGCAAGTTTTAATACTCAAATTTTCCCTAATTACATTGGAATGACAGCAACTGTTGTCTAGAAAGGACCATAGAACAATGACCACAGATATAATTTCACATTAAAATGTTGATTATTCTTGGGCCTACCCAAGACCCTGAGTTGAATCTTTAGGGCTTAAGCCAGGAATTTGAAAACATTCAAGCCCTCCAAGTTGTGCTCATGTGCAGTTGGTCTGAGGATCACAGCCTTAGAGGTGGCCTAACTTCAACCCTCAATTTCTATAGCATACTAATGCTTGAGAGGAGGCATCAAGATCTATATTACTTTGGGGTGTACCTTTTTTATAATAAATCAAGTCCCTTCGTAAACTGCCTGATCTGGATTTTCTCTTAAGGAAATGAATCTTCTCTGTCTCGTCAACAGATGTTCAAGCAAATGCTTTCAGAAAAACAAGCCAAATGGGAGTATTATAAGAAAGAGGGCTCAGAGCGGATGACCGAACTTGCTGATGTCTTCTCAGGAGTGAAACCCCTAACCAGAGTGGAGAAAAATGGTAATTGCTTAAGAGGGGTTGTTGGATGTGTCCAGCATGTGTCTACAGATTATTTGAAACCTTAGGAATTGGCCAAGCAGAAGGTCCTTCTGTTTTTGTCATTGTCTGCCACGACATCGTTCTCTTTTAGCTTTGGGAATAAAGGGGTTTAATTTGGGCTCCTCTGGCCTGCTCCCGTGGGCTGTGTTCATGTCCATCTGGATGTCAGGTTTCATATCTTATCTTTGAAATATGAGATTAGGCTAACCTAGGGGTTCTTTTCACTCTGATTCATAGATAGGGGTTAGAGAGTCAAGGTGCTCCCGACTCCCTGGTCCACAAGTCTCACATATCAGTTAATGTGCATTTGGGGGAAGATTACATAGCTCTTATAATCTCAGAAGGGTAGATCACCTAAGAATATTAGTAACTACCCACACAGATCATGTCTCAGATTCTTGTCTTCTAATCTTGCTTGGTTCTTGTCCACGGTGCATCTGGCATCTAGTGGCACAAAAGAGGGCCCGCAGACTGGTTGGGTTTTGTTTTTTTTTTCCATTTGTGTATGCATTGGTTTTTTGTAGTACCTGGGACTGAACTCAGGGCTTTGCTCATGCCACTGAGCTACATCCTCAGCTGCTGACTTATTTTTGAAAGGAAACATCTCAAGTTTTAACTAAAATGATTTTGATCCTACTTCTTTTAGGAAATTCTTTCTGTAGGAAAATTTGTGATGTTGCTTCAGATTTTTATTTATAAGAACTTTTCAAATTGCCCCCAGAAGACCATTTGAATTCTGAAGTGACAAATTAAGCTATTTTACTACTTAATGTTGGTGTTATCAGATTCATTTTGGATGAAGTTAATTATGTAGTACAATTACTTAATAGTATAGCTTTTTATTAAAAAATGAATGACTTTGCTATCTTTAATCAATAGGGACTTGTGATTATTGTATTTTGGCTTTTGTTGATTTATTTTATGCTAGTTGGTTGCTCTGAAATATATTTCCAAAGCATATTATTATTCCTATTGTAGAAAGTGAGTTTACAGTGATGTGATGTAATTGGCAACATGTTTTGCAAGTCAACATATTTTGACTGAAAAACAAGAACCACCTATAACAATCTGACCAAATTAGTTGACTAGAATCAGGCTCATTAATCTCTGTTACAGTCCCCATTTGGTTTTTCTGAATACCAGATTGTTTCAGAGGTCATTTACATGATCATTTTATGCTTTTTTTTTTTTCTGGCTAGGCAATTTATTTTGGCCTAGGAATCTTTGTCATTTGATTTTTACCCTGTGGGATAAACACCTTTAGCCTTGTTCTATGTATAAGGAACCAAAGCTTTAAAAACGTAGTCATTTGCCAAAGGTAACAAAGATCCAGGGCCTTGATCTGGCTCATGGCCTCAGACTTCAAATCTGTGCTCTTTCCCCTACACCAGAGCTGTGCCTCATCAGTTCTTTAAAATAAAAAAAAAACTTTGAAATACAGATTTCTTGTGCCAATTTCTGAAATAAGTTACATTATAAGTAATTAAGTCTGAATAAAGTTCGACCACTCCTTTAATAAACACAAAAGTGTAGGGAATCAACTTGGTGCTGACTCTCCCATTTAGTAGCTGTGTGACCGCGAATGTGATTCTTCATTCTGAGCATCAGCCTCCTCATCTGAGAAATGGTCCGCAGTGCCAACCTCCATTGTTGTGAAGATTAAATGAGACCAAGCTAGAATTCTGCCTCACACACCAGGGTGCTCAGAGCCTGTTAAAGCCCTTCCCTTTCATGCTGTGTGAACTACCTATTGGTTTGTGAAGGCAGATGGCACCCCTCAGCTGCTCAGAATTCCCACTCAGACCTCAGGCTTCTGACATGTTGGTCTCCTCTTTGCCCTCTAAGACATGCCACCATCATTCCAGCCTGGGAGTCGGCTCATACTTGCCCCTCATTTAGATAGAAAACCCTTCTTCATTTCTCTGACTGTCCAGATCTTTACCCTCTCTCACTTCTCTAGAAAACTCCCCAGTACCTCTGTCACTGGGGAGTTCCCTCCCAACTCTCCTCTGCCACTACTGCCCCCTTGGCACGTGTTGTTTTATAACATGTATGTGGGCCTTTAATCCCTTTTGCCAAGCTTTTTAGACTAAGCTATTAATGTTTATTCTGTGAGGACACACACTCCAGGTATTTTTATCGTTCAGAGACTCCTGGAAGCAATATTTGGCGTATAGTAAAAACTCTCTATATAAAGAACTAGACTCATAAACTAATTTAATTAAGTTCAAAGCCACAGCTACAGGAATTCTGGGTTTCAGTAGTCTTTCTTATTTCTGTATCAATAGAAAATCTTCAAGCTTGGTTCAGAGAAATCTCAAAACAAATATTGTCTTTAAATTATGATGATTCCACTGCTGCAGGCAGAAAAACTGTGCAGCTAATACAAGCTTTGGAGGAGGTAAGAAAAGTCTTCAAATTCTCATTCTTGGATCAGAAATCTTGCCTATGATCTATACAACAGCTTGCTCATAAACATATATCTAAGAGAAGATTTCATCAGCAGCAAAAGCAATATGAGTTAATATGTTCCCTGTACTGTTACATGCAGTGTCCTAAAATGGGGGAATAAATTCAGTGACCAGCATGCCTAGAAAAATAGCAGGGGTCAAGATATTCAACTCCAGAAAACCTATAGTTTTAGAAAAATAATGATGAAAGTGATTTAGAGATGTTGGGAAAAATGTGATGAAGAAGTGAAAGCAAAAACAAAACTGTGCATATATGCAATGTTTTAGGTTTGTAAAAAATTGTGTACCTAGGGCAAGCTTAGAAATAAATAAGCAAAAATGAAAATAATTATGTAGTGATCATATGCTTGTAAGTGGTGTATGTTCTTTTCTGGAAAAAAAAAAATAGTGTTTTAATGATTCAAAAATGATTATACCCAAAACACTGATTCTACCTCACCACTCTTAAATGTTTAATTGTATATTTAACTAGGTTTGAAATGCAAAATAATAGCATCAGAACATACAAGCATAGACTATTATTTAAACCTCATCTAGACTCATTATCTGTAACACTGTCCAATTTGGTGTGTAGAGATATAATTAATACTATTTCATTTGGCAGACTTTCTTCAGGCTTTTTCTTATTTCTTTGAGGTTTTTTAGGATGGCAACACAGTATAATACTCCATAGTTAGCATACCAGAGTTTCTTATTCCAAAACAATTGCATGCTTGTACTATTTCTATTACACTTGTTGGGAGGCTATTCAGTCTACGGTACACTAGAAACAACTTTGTAAATCTCTAATGCCTTCTGTGTTTAGCCTATTTAGTTTGGCATGTAATCCATACCTCTTGAGTTATATACATGAAATTTTTAGGACATTATGGCATCATTATTTTGTTTTAGAGAGTATACTAAAAGAAAATAATGTATAAGCACCAACACATTGGTTGTGATGTAGCTTATTATCTTTCTTAGGCAGTGATAGTCAGATAAAGAATTAAGAGCATTTTCCAATATATCTTTATTTATAGTAAAATGGAAAATGAGAGCATTGACTTATTATGTCCTGTACATACAGGATCAAACTGGATGGGGCATTTTCTAATCCTGGAAAGTTATACAGCTTTTTATGATTTAGCTATGTATTTCTGAAATTATAATTTGGAATAAAAAGTTTATCAAGAAATTATTAATACTGTGCCTTGTATGAAGTGTTTTCAGGGAAAATGAGTACTTTAAAGGCCAGAACTTTTAAACTAAATGTACTTATGTAACAGGTTCAGGAATTTCATCAGTTGGAATCAAATTTGCAAGTGTGTCAGTTCCTCGCTGATACTCGAAAGTTCCTCCATCAAATGATCAGGACCATTAACATTAAAGAGGAGGTCCTGATCACAATGCAGATCGTCGGGGACCTTTCTTTTGCTTGGCAGTTAATTGACAGGTAACATGAACAGACTGACATTTGCCCCTGATGAAGTCCACTGGAACATCTTCTTAGAAATGTATTTCTTTTACAGTTTCACATCCATCATGCAAGAAAGCATAAGAGTAAGCCCGTCCATGGTCACTAAACTCAGAGCCACATTCCTGAAGGTAGGCAAAGGACCACGTGGTCACATTCTTAGTTACACCACGAAGGAGTTGGCCTTCACCTTGCCTCACTCATTGATCAGTCCAAAAGGTTTCATCTTTTCAGGAAGTTGGATCATTTCAGCATTTTTGTACACTGGAAATTATTAGCAGTTCTTCCAAGAACATTGTTTCTAAAGATTCCAGAAATATTTGAAGTTTGATTAAATAAGTTGGAATATGTTACAGAATCTTGTTTTTAAATAAATAAATATTTTTAAGTTTTATTAGTGTACTAAAAATGTGACTCCTTGGGTCTTTATTCATTAGATGTAAATTAAGTCCTTTTATTTATTCATTAGAAGAATTTTTATTGAACCTCTACTACAAACTAGTCTATACCCTAAAGGTGAAGGAATAGTGATGATCAACACAATCATGTTCCTTACTCTCAAGATCATTTCAGAGCATAATAAATGAACAAATAGTTTGCTCAGTGTCTTCTGACAGTTACCAGATATGTCAATTCCAAGCTGTAATTTTTTCATATTTTAACGTCTCTAATTTTAAATGAGTTTTATAATGGATGGCATATCCTAGTTTAGTTGTCAACACTTTAGTTCTTTCTGAGTGGCACATAAAATAATGACACTTCTCATACTTGATGACATCTCAGGTTGGATGAATTCAGTAGTCCACCAATTAGAACGTCTCATTTCCACAGAGAAGTAGTTGTCTCCTTTAGCATGGTGGCTCTCAAACTTGAGCATGCATCAGAAATACCTGGAGGGCTTATTGCAACAGAGATCACAGGACCCCAGCCCTGGAGCTTCTGAAGTCAGTCTGGGATGGGGTCCCACAATTTGCACATCTAAATGTTCCCAGGTAATGCTGATGCTGGTGATCCAGGAACCACACTTGAAAAGCTATCGCCTTAATAGGTGACTCTAATTTTTTTTTTAAATATATTGTCAGAAACTATTCATGATATTGACAAGGTTTGGTGGTTGTTGCCCTCCATTGTGTAAGGCCCAGGTATTTTGTTATGTTACATATTCTGGAGAAAAAGATTTCTAGGATTTTTTAAAAAAACAGAAATAGTAATTATCTTATTTTTCTAACAGCTTGCCTCTGCCCTTGACCTGCCTCTTCTTCGTATCAATCAAGCAAATAGCCCTGACCTTCTCAGTGTGTCTCAGTATTATTCTGGTGAATTAGTGTCCTATGTGAGAAAGGTAAGAAGTACATACAGGTGATTTTGCTTTGATTAGCTGATTAGCTAACTGCTGTTTAAAATAGAGAAGTATACTTGGGCCCTATAAAATGTATATTGTGTTCCTTTTTTGTTTGTTTGTTTTAAACTCGATTCCAGAAATTTGTAATACTTGCAAATAAATGTATTCTTCCTGCTATTATAGACAGGCAGACTCTACTTTCAAAGAAATTTACTTTACTTTCAAAGAAATTTTATATCTATTTTTTGAATGCTAATGGTATTGACTACCATTTTATAGATGCAGAGAGGGAGGAACAGAGATCGTAGTAGTGTCTTCAAAGTCACAATTGGTTGGTGAAAGAGATCTAGATCCAACATAGCCTCATCTGAACTTCATTCAAGCTTTCTTGGGGTCCTTGAAAGTTTGAATATCGTATGGTTCAACAAGAAGCCATACAGGCCTGGATCAAAATTTATCTATCACGTACTATCAGAATACTCTACAACGATGGTACTTGATGTCTTGGAACTTCAGTTTTTATTTTCCTTGCAGTGCTGAGGATTGAACCCAGGGCCTCGTGCATGCCAGGCAAGTGCGCTGTCACTGAGGCACATCCCCAACCCTGAACCTCAGTCTTTTAAAAATCTTTTTTGCAGCACTTTGAAGGATTATTATTTTTTTTATTAGTTGTTCAAAACATTACATAGCTCTTGACATATCATATTTCATACATTTGATTCAAGTGGGTTATGAACTCCCATTTTTCCCCATATACAGATTGCAGAATCACATGGGTTACACATCCACGTTTTTACATACTACCATACTAGTGTCTGTTGTATTCTGCTGTCTTTCCTATCCTGAAGGATTATTTTTATTCTGAGGGCAGTTAATGTTGGAAGGAGGGAGCTGCAGCTGCTAGCAATTAGGAAAGCAGCTCTGCTAAGTTCTCCAGCGTTGCCTCCTGTAGACAGACTGCTGCTCGTGCACACCAGAACCTTTTTCTTACTGTCATCCTAATATCTGACAGCTAAGAAAAATAAAACGAGGGTGTGCAATTGTATTTCTCCCTTTCTCTGCCCTCACAGGTTTTGCAAATCATCCCAGAAAGCATGTTTACATCTCTTCTAAAGATCATAAAGCTTCAGACCCACGACATCATCGAGGTGCCTACCCGCCTGGACAAAGACAAGCTGCGGGACTACGCTCAGCTCGGCCCACGATACGAGGTGCCATGTTGCCCTCTGCCTTCTGCCTTTTCATATTTAAAACTAAAAGCCACGAACTATCACAGGCCTGTGTCACCGCCATGACCTGGGACCACTAGACTGATTCTGATTCATTTTCTCACACTCTTGTGATGGCCAGTGTTTACCTTTTGAGTATAGTCATACCTAAATTTTAGATGTGAGAAACTGAAGACCAAAGAAGGGAAAGCTCTTTGTGAAATGTTGGAGAATAGATTGATGTCTCTGACTCTCTTCCCCAACATGTCCAACATGGACTTTACTTATGCCACAAATACTTACTTCTGTCCGGGCATGTGGATGCCGGTGTTCTTTACAAAGCTACACATCCGTTTCCTGTGCTTTGCCTATTCCAGGACTATTAGCCAGTTATTTTATCCTTCCATAGAAATGGCAAGTCTTTTATCCCAATTGCTTCATAATTCCTCTTTTTCTTTGTTATAGGTTGCCAAGCTCACCCATGCTATTTCCATTTTTACCGAAGGTATCTTAATGATGAAAACAACTTTAGTTGGCATCATCAAGGTAAGTGACTCGATGTTGGTCTTTGTGCCCTTGTGGTTAGTCCTTTGGATTTTTCTGGTAATTATCATGTGTGGAACAGGGAGTGATGTTACCATCTTACTATTTCTCATCCCAATTTTGGTTTTACCTCACATGTTGATGAAGAAAAATTACCTTTATTGCTCATAATAATGAAGGCAATCTTATGTATAATCTTAGAATTTCTTCTAGTTCTGGAGGGGAAAATGTAGTATTAATAACTGTTTTACCAAGAGTTTTGTAAATCTAAGAAAAATCTGTTTCCCTGAATTTTTGTCATAGCAAAGAAAACAAAATGGCTCAATTTTCTTAGGCATGATTGCTTTCTACGTTTTTATTTTTTTTCCCCATCACTGTTTCTCTCTTTTATTTTAGTGTTTCTATTTTTGCACCCAGGTGAGGAGAGCTAAGATAATTTTACCCTCTGGTCATAGACCGTTATCTCCGCTGACACATGCAAGCTTCTCTTTTATTTTTTCTTTCTTCTCCTGGACCCCACTCCCATTCCCATTCTTCATAGCAACCACTCTGTGTCTGAGACATGTTCCTAATTATGCAATTTACTAAAAATGAGAGTACTTGCATATTTAGGGGCACACAATTGAATGTCCACTTGTATTTCTGGTTTCTCTAAATCATTGTGCTCTCAGTCTTTTTCCAACTTTTCTTACTGGTTTTTGCATTTTAAATTTATTTATGATGCTGTAGATCAGATAATTGGTTGCTTACAGCTACATCGAATTCCCCACTTTGCTGAACTATCCCACCAGAGACAGACACCTCTTCTTCCATTATCATAATCACTATCACAGTGAACATCTCAGCACTGTCCCCACTCCAGGCCTGTGCAGGAATTTCCCTGAAATGGACATACCTAGGAGTGGCATCTCAGGACCCCACCGCCTCTCTGTGTTTACTTTGTCTGCATGCCCCTAGCCTGCCTTTTGAAATGACTATTTCCTGGGCTCCACCCACATCTTGGTGATTACTTGATGTTATCCTCTTTCTAATCTTTTGCCCAAGGGGTATAAATCGATATCTCACTGATGTTTTAATTTGAATCCTGCAATGACTCATGATGTCCCCATGTCCCCTTCACATAGTTTATTGTACTTTTATTTTTCCATTTATCTGATATGAAAAGAATTGGAACTTTTTTTTAAAACTAGATAGCTGTTGAATTGCCACATAAACATTTGCGTTACTAAAATACAAACGGAACATAGGTATATGTTTTCTAGAAAAATACTTAGAATAAATAAATAAAATGTCATTATGCCCCTGAAATTTCAATAGACTCTGCTCGACCTGACTTTAGGCCTGATGCCAAATTAATTAAGATGATGTGCAGAGAATATACATGCTGGTTTATTTACTCCCAACTAATCCATAAGTACGATGAGCCCTAGCAATGCATAGGGACAGGTAGAGGAAGAATGTGATAAGACCTCCTAATTATTAGCAATAATTAAAGAAAAACTTCTTAATAAAATGTAAATCTTTGCCACAGTCTTTTGGAAGGAATGTCATACTGACCAAGCCCATCCAATTAGGAGACTCTGCCAGTCCAATAACAATAGCTAAGGACTGTTGGAAGGAATTCTGTGGCCCTCACTGATCTTTAACCTCAGCATCTTAAGGATATGTTTCAAAACCTTACAGAAGTATAGGATCACTGTGCTCAAAAAGACTTCAAACCAGTAAGATATACAGAAATATACATGAGTACTCATTGTTCGAGGCAGACAAAAGAAAAAAGAAAGAATCTAAACACCCATTGGTAGGGGAATGGCTAAATGTTATGACACATTCATACTGTAGATTGCTCTGCTTTTGTTCAAAAAGAATTTGCCCCTGGATAGTTTCCAAGATAGAAAATATAGGATAACATACATGTTATGGTGTATGTATATAAATGAATGTTTATGTTTAAACACACATGTATGCATGTGATCCCATTTAGATTTGTAAAATCAAATATGTAGATGAACATTTCTATGGATGAATGAATAGAGGAAGATCTGGAGGAAGCCATGAAAGCTGTTAACTGTGCTAACACAGGAAGGAGATGGAAACGTGAGGAAGGGGCTGCGTGTGTGAGACTTTCCTAGCTGTGAAAACTTCTGCTGCATTAGTGGAAATCCAGGAAGAGTGGAAGAGCCACTGTTTCACTAAATCTCTTCTTGGTTTTGTGTGTGTGCTAGGGACTGAAGTCAGGGCCTCATGCATGCAAGTACATACACTTCCACTGTGCTACACCCAGCCCCTAAGTCTGCCCTTCCTGGGATCATTTCTTCGAAAGCTTTGTTATTTCTCAACTATGTATATATTTATAATTTTTAATTATAAAATAAAATACAGATGCTAAGTTGCAGAAATAATTGTATGGTTTAATAGATTATTATGAGGTTCACACTACTCATTCTGATCACCATATGAGTCAAGAAATCTATTTAACCACCCCTACTCCTGTGTCTCCCCCATGTGCCCAGACCTAGTCTCAGTCTCTCCCTTTATGGTCTTAGTATTCGCAGATAAGTTTGTATACACTGTAGCTTAGAAGTGCTCATTGAAGGAAAAACTGTTGTCTCTCTGAAGTCTGTGTAACAGCAGGTTTCTCCTGCACTCCTTTCTTTCCTCACAGTCAATCTGCTGCAGAGCCCAGGCCCTTGCCCTGAAGCTCTGCACACTCGGGGTTGCTGATGGCGTAGTCCAGTTTTAGTTCCCACATGTGTTTCTCAGGCTTTTGTGTTTTCTGCAACTTCCATTACAGTTGTCGTCTTTGAAGTTTAAATATAATCCAAACCAGATGGACCTGTCAGTTTTCTTGGTGACCTTAAAAATAATGATTCTTTACAAATCAAAAGGAAAAGAAACAAGTCTCAAGGTGTTCAAGGGCATGGGCTAAAACCGTTTGATGTTCTGTGGATCTGACAGGAGATTTATTTAGGGAATTACAATAGCTTTCTCATTACAGAAAAAAAATAATAAGTGTAGAATTTGATAGTAGATTTGCTTTCCTGTTTTATCATTCTAATTATAAATGGCATCCTAAGAATATTGAAAGAAGAAGAATTATTCCATTTACAGTGCTGCAACTCAAAACTTGAGTTTGCTCACCTGGAGACAGATGGCCCGAAACGACATCTGGAGGAGAGACAAGCAGCTGAATTCAGCCCAGGCCCTTCATTCCACCGCCCTTTCCTTCTGATAAGAAAAGGCACTTAACATTTAACGAAATGATGAAATGTGAGGCAATTAAAACTTTCCACACTCATCAACTTTGACATATCATATTGTAAATTATCTCATGAAGCTGGCCGAGGTGAAGGGCATCCTAAGAGGTGAAGGTTTAGAAATTCTGCCCAAGCTGCCCCAGGTCAGATAGGGGTAGGAAAGGGACAAAATCTATATCATTTAGAGAAGAAGGAGGAAAATGCTGCGCTACTTTCTGGGAATTGGTTTTCCCCTGTGTTTCGTCAGGACTGGCCTTTTCCTAACTTGTGATTTGCACTTAGGTGGATCCGAAGCAGTTGCTGGAAGACGGAATAAGGAAGGAGCTGGTTAAACGGGTTGCTTTCGCCCTTCACAGAGGACTGATATTCAACCCTCGAGCCAAGGTACCAGAAGACCAAAGTGCAACCGTCCTGTTCTCGCTCAGCTCACAGCTTGGACGATTTGTAACAAGACCTTCCTCCTCTGTCCTTACAGCTAAGTGTGACCTTTGGGACTAACAACTGATAGGCTCTTTGGTCCCCTAATATAATCCATTCATTTTATCAGGAAATCCTTTTTAAAACCAATGCTTCTTTCCTTCACTGGTTGACCCCCCAAGTTTAAGAATTGATGTTTACAATTCAGAGGTTTTTTTTGTTGCCGTTTTTATTTTTTAAGGTACTGGGGAGTGAACCCAGGGCCTCACATATTCCAGGCAAGCATTCCACTGCTGAGCTACATCCCTAGCCCTTTTTATTCATTTTTGAGACTGGGTATTGCTATATTGCCCAGGCTGGCCTTGAACTTGCAATCCTCCTAACTTAGCCTCCCAAGTATCTGGGATTACAGGCTCATGTCACAACGCCTGTCTCAGAGTTACTTTTTATAATTAAAAGAATTTATTAGCCCTAAAGCCAATAGAAACTATGAAAACTAACTTTTTATTTTTGTTTATCTGTTGGAAAATATAGTAATTTTTCCCATGAGAAAAATAAACAGGCCTAAAATTTATAGAATATTTTTCAAATCAATGAATTTAATTTAAAATATTTTTAAGGGTTCTGAGATGAGATATGTTCACCAAATGACATGTGAGAAATCACCAGCATTCATTGTTTATATTCCTTTATAGGAAACTTTCTTTCCAAAGGAATAAAATGTACTCTCTGCTAAATATCTGACATCTCTTGCCACTCGGCCAAGATGAAGTCGGAAATTTTCCAAAGCTTATACTATGTCTTAAACTGTGACTGTGGCTCCTTAGTCAGTGTATTAAAGTCTAATGAAGGTATTAGTAATGATAATCTTTTGGAATGTGGCCACAACTCTCAGCTGAATTGGCAAAGGAGCAGAGGAGTCAGTAACTTTTTGGAGCTTTTTTTGCACATTTTCTCTTTTTCACACAGCCAAGTGAACTGATGCCCAAGCTGAAAGAGTTGGGAGCCACCATGGATGGATTCCATCGTTCTTTTGAATACATACAGGACTATGTCAACATTTATGGTCTGAAGATTTGGCAGGAAGAAGTCTCTCGTATTATAAATTACAATGTGGAACAAGAGTGTAATAACTTCCTAAGAACAAAGGTATTTAACAATTTTAAAGTTCTTGATTTTACTAGGTATTTCTTATGTTTAAAATACACACTCTAAATCTCAAGAGGTGCCAACAAGAAAGTTTGTTTAAATAGATACTGAAAATCAATAAGCACTCGATGGTCTCCGTACCATGAGAGCACCTTCAGGAGCCCTCAGGGTGGCAGAGAAGTTGACATGGCACCTTACCTCGGCGAGCTTCCTGCCTCAAGAAGGCAAGCATGATTATATGGCCACAGAACGGGGCTGGTGGCTGTAACTTTTCAGCCCACGTGACTGAGTGCAGGAGACGGGCACCTCTCAGTGGGTTGGATCAGGGTATGTACCTGGTCTCTGTGCTTAACCGGGGGAGGAGCACCAGGCCTCTGCAGCGGTGCCGGGCAGTCTGAGAGTCCGCCTTCCCTCCTCCTTGTCAGCAGCACTTCACCATCCTGTGAGTGGGTCTTATGGTTTTGAGTTGTGGTTCCTAATGGCTGGTGACCTTGAGTGCCTTTTCATGTGCTTACTGGCCATTTTAGTGGCCATTTTCTTTGAGAAAGTATCTATTGAAGTTCTTTACTCATTTTTTCTTAATTGGGCAAAGATAGAGCCCCAATTTCCTGAGTGCCAGGCTGAGATTTCTGCAGTCAGTAAGGAACACTGCAGGTTTTTAGGTGAGGGACTGACATTACATTCTCAAAAGGTTATTAAGTGTCTTCCAACCTTATAATATTTCAGGGCTTTCTATTATACTGATGCACATCAGCTCATAAAACAAAAACCCACGGGCCTGCTCACTTCTCCTTAGTTGCTTCATTTTTTCACATATATTTCCTTATTTATGAATGTTATCTATAGCATTTCTGGGAAGCTATTTTTAAAAATTTCCTCTTTAAACCAAAGAGTAGTCATTGTCACTGTTCATTTTTCATAGTCATTGTCACTGTTCAATTTTATTTTTGTAAAATTACGGGGAAACAGATAACCGTACTGAATATTTGTGATTTTGTTCCCTAGATTCAGGACTGGCAGAGCATGTACCAGTCTACTCACATTCCCATACCCAAGCTCCCCCCTGTGGACGAGTCCGTCACGTTTATTGGTCGACTCTGCAGAGAAATCTTGCGGATCACGGACCCAAAGTAGGTGTTTCTAAATTCTGCTGAGCCTTGAGTCCCATGGATGACCATGTGTACCTGTGTCACTGTGGCACGCGCCCTAATTCCAGCCCCTGGATCTTGCACTTGTCACCTCATGTCCTGACCCTGAAGGTGACCTCCTTGTTTCTTAGCCCAGCACAAAGCCCTTTTGATAGTAAACACTAACATCTGTGGAGCACTTACCAGTGCCCTCTTAACATAGAACACATCTGTGCATCAACACAGTACAGTAATCTTGGGAGGTCAGCATTATTGTTGTTATTCCCATTCTAGGTATGGAATAACTGAGGCACAGGAAAAATTAGTCACTTGCCCAACATCATGTCGTTAATAAATGGTAGGCCCAGAATACACAGCAGTCCCTCTGCCCCTGGAGCCCAGCTCTGTTGAACAGCAGACCACTTAACTTTGTGCCTGGTGAATCCCATCTATAGTCACATCACATGGGTTCTGCATTCAGCAGGAACTGGGCAAATATATTATTAAAACTACCTTTGACAATATTTTAGGTGGGCATCATGTTAGAGACTGGCATGCTGCCTCTCAGTTCAACTGAACTCATTTTCTCCTCTTTCTTAATCTGAGCCACAGGAGAAGCAATTGGTACTAAGACCAATTGAGGGAAGAACAGGTTCCTGTCTTCTGTTTCAGGTTTAACCCCGGGCACACGCTCACCAAGCAGAATGATTGATCAGTAGCCCAGGAAAATACCATTCTTTTCTTTCTCCACCTATGCACATATAGTTGAATTTGTACCACTGTATTATCCAGACTGACTTTGTCTTTTAAAACTTGAGAAAGTTGACAAATTATTTATAATCTTTGTCCAAAATTTCCAATAGAAATAAGGAATTTTATCTATTACTAATGGGCTAAAAAGAGTAAATGTTCTAGAAAGTTTTGTGGCTCCTCAATTCTTGGTACCCAGGAGTCAAATCACTGAAGCCCTTTTAGAAAATGGCCCACCTAGTTCCCTGTTTATACAGCAGGGAGGATTAGTGGGCTTCTCAAGGAGTCTCTCAGGGGACATAGTCAAAGAGCCATCTCTGAGTGGGAGAACACTTTTTAGGCCTGAAAGCAGAAGTTGAATGAAGTTCTGGAAATCTCCTTGTTTTGTTCTCCCCGTTTACTTGCAAATTTAATCCCCCTGGGGCTCTTTTAGCTCCTCCCAGACCCCTGTTTAGTAAAGGTGTATAGTGGTGGATTTTAGAAAGTGGGGACTACACCTGTTGAGCTTATTGAAAAGCAGGGGCTCGGACTCTGCCCATATCTCCTGAGCCTGAGTCCCCAGGAGTAGAAAGTGGGCATCTGTTTTTAACAGCTCTGCAAGTGGTTCAGGGGCCCTCCCGACAGTCTGAGAGCCAAAGATTTGAAGGGGCTGTTAGGGGTGCAGAGCTAGAGCCAGGCCCATCCTAGCAACACCGAGCAGTCGCTGGATGCTGCTGGTTGTCATCATGAGTGTAAAAGGAAGCCTGGGAGGTGCTTGGAAGACAGCATCTGCGTGTTTAAGGAACTGGAAAGAAAGAGCAAACAGCTCTGTCATCACTGCCTGAGATGTTAGCGCACAAGGATTCTCAGTTCCTTCGAGGCCAAAAGGAAATGACTATCTTGTCCTCAGTCCTGGCTGAGGGCAGAGCCTAGCCTGGTCTTCTCAATGTGATTCCAAACCAGTGGCCCTTCCCAGTAGCAAGGAGTGACTGGAACCATGAGGCCTGCCAAGGAGGGAAGGGGTCCAACTATTTGCCCGCTGTCCACTGGAGGGGGGTCACTGTGCACTGTGCTCTTTTCTCCCAGTTCCTTAACGCAGAAGTTAGAAAACACGAGTCATGTACCTGTTACTCTGAGCATTCAGTACCCCAGATTCTGATGAGTCCATGTCTTCAGGATGAATTCTGAGCCACTCTGGGACTTTTGCTTTGTTTTGCTTTGGTTTTAGGATGACATGTCACGTAGACCAGCTGAACACCTGGTATGATATGAAGACTCATCAAGAAGTGACCAGCAGCCGCCTCTTCTCAGAAATTCAGACCACCTTGGGGACCTTTGGTCTGAATGGGCTAGACAGGCTTCTGTGCTTCATGATCGTGAAGGAGCTGCAGGTGAGCCTAGGGCAGGCAGGCCTATCTCCACAGGGACAGGAGAGGACAGCTTGCGGGGCCAGTTAAACCCACGTGCCTTTTCTTTTGTGCTTTCTTACACTGATGTCAGACATATTTGATTCTTACTGGGTAGATAAGAACAGAGAGTAAGCTGGAATGTCTTTGGCAGTCATAGTATTGGTACGGTAGACTGCTTTGGGGAGTTTCAGCTTGGGAGAATGAGATATTTTATCTTTGAAGCCAATAATTTCTTCCCACAAGACCCTGAGTTGCTGCTGTCCTGTCTTCCTATTTAGAAGCTGTGTGGCTCAGGTGAAGTCTCTGTTCCTCACAACAGTTGAGTAAACTGGAGTATGTATTCTTTCTGTTCATTTTGTTTGGTTCTTTAATCACACATCCTTGTTTTTAGAATTTCCTCAGTATGTTTCAGAAAATTATCCTGAGAGATAGAACTGTTCAGGATACTTTAAAAACCCTCATGAACGCCGTCAGCCCCTTAAAGAGCATTGTAGGTAAGCATCCTGAGTCCAGCCAAGGAGGGGGTGACACTGTGGCCTTTCTGAGTTTACTAAATAGAAAATTGTTTTTTAATTTTTCAGCAAATTCAAATAAAATTTATCTTTCTGCCATTGCCAAAACGCAGAAGATTTGGACTGCTTACCTCGAGGCTATAATGAAGGTATGTTGTGGAGAAGGCGATAATCAATACTATGTTTTTAGCTTATTTCCTTTTACCTTGTGGGTCAAAAAAAAAACTACTCTTGCAATTAAAACAAAAATATTGTACTTTATTGTTATTTCTAAATTCACTTATTCCTTTGCTTCCTCTTTGGGCTGTTTTTAACAAGGCTTTTTGAGGGTCTATGCTTCCCTTTTGCTCAGGAAAACTAGTTTTTTGATATATGCCTTTGGCCGGAGATGTTTCCATCCAAGGAGATGGAAATTTTCTTCCAACCTTTTTAAATGAACTCACCTGTCCATTTGCAGTCCTGAGGGCTGCAAGGACTTCTGTCCCTTGCCCCTCTTGTGTCCTACATAGGTGTTTGGGAGCCAGGTCCTCAGGGTCGAACATTATGCTTAACACTGTCAGTAAAACACTGTGTCTTTGGAAATGAGGGTGAATGGCAAATGAGGAATTCATCAGCTGGGTGGAAACCCAGCTTAATTTAGAATCCAGTCACCTCCTTTCCTCCCTTCCCTGTGGCCATACTTCCCGTGGCCCTCTGCATCTTCTGTGTGTCCCTCTCTCATTGTTTGTCACCAGAGATGTTCAACAACACTTTATGAAGTACCTGTTATGTGCAAGGTCTTGGCGGTTGCTGCAAGAAAGAGTTAAAGGAAACCCTTTGTGTCCCCTCGAAGTTTTCTTACTCTAGTGGGAAGGAGTAGATTCCCTGGGGGAAACTAGGATTCATGCCATGGGAGAAGTCTAGAGGCCACAGGGATGGCTGCATTCTCTTGTTCCCAGTCGCAAAAGCTATGGTGTATCAGCCAAACTCATAATTTATTTACTGTAAGTTCAGCGAGTAGTTTTTTCATTCTTGTTTTTGTTTTACCTTTGAGAGAACAACTGGTAAGACAAGGAGCTTCTGGCTCTGCTGGGTGTCCTCTTGTGCAGCTGTAACACTCCCTCAGCCTCTGACCGTCTGATGTGAGGGCTTCTAGGCCACGTTTCCAACTGCAGGAAAGCATTTTAGAGGAGTGGGAAATTATCTGCAGTCACACAAGCAGAAACTCAGCTCTGTGGGAGCGTACGGAGATTACAGGGACTCTTCCAAGGGGTTCAGAGTTTGCCCCTGACTTACCAGACTCTTCTCAGACCAGCAGCTACAATGCTGTTAGTTATAATTGCTAGTATTCACTGGTAGCCAAGTGATCATGTCTAAGTCAGTGGTCTTTAAATAAAGCCCCCAGGGGCAGATTTGTCTTTTATCTAGAATTAAGCAATTGCAGTCACTAATCCAGGGTTGACCTGGAACAGTGATGGAAGTGTTGATGGTAACAGCAGCTATGAGTCACACACAGCTGTGGGGCCCTGGAAATGCTTCTTGTAGAACTGGCAAATGAAATGTTTAATTGCATTTCATTTTAATTTAAATAACTACATATGGCTAGTGACTGCTGCCCTGGACATTGCCACTTTAAAAGAATCTTGGGGCAAGAATGATAAGCCAGGTGTCTAAACAGGCAGATAGGTAGGTGCAGTGAGTTCCTCACCCACCCTGGGCACATTAGCCTTTCCAATAGCTTCTAAGCTGGTCATGAAGACCAAAAATAAGAAATGTCAGTCGCCAGGAATCCATATCCATTAAATGAGAACAAATTACATTCAACCAATTTTATTTGTTTCCATTTCTAGTACTATAATTGCAAGAGAATCATTGACACAGAGTACCCTAGACAAAGAGTTATGCAAGGAATTATACAGTACAGATTCAAGGTTTCAGGGACCTTTTTGAGTAGCCTGAGAGAACCTAACATTTTCTTGGCCTTATTCAAATTTTTTAAAGAATTTTTTTAAATACCTTTATTTTATGTATTTATATGTGGTGCTGAGGATTGAACCCAGTGCCTCACACGTGCTAAACAAATGCTCTGCCACTGAGCCACAACCCCAGCCCCTCAAAATTTTAAACAGTACTTTTCTATAAGTTTAAAGACTTCTTATCTATCAGTACCATTTTTTGGATTGACTTTTATTTCTTCATGTAAGTGGAATAATAGTCTTGTAAGAATACATGGAGGTTATTTAACACATTATAACTGTCGCAGACTCCATTATCTAAATGACTTCTCTCCTCTTCCAGAGGAGGCCACTCTGTCTTTCTTAGCTCTTCTCTGCGCTGAGCAACTTAGGGGCAACACGTTGGTCTCCACCTGGTTGCCGCTTATATTACAGAGCAGCCTCTGCCCACCCCTCCCCCTGACAGTCCCCTTGCCATTCCTCAGAGATGCCCTCCCTAGACAAGTTCCCTAACATAAAAGGTGAGCATGTCCTGTGCAGCTCATGATGGTGACAGGTTGATGGGGGGAGCTGAACTCTCTCCAGCTTACCCCAAGTCGGTTCCCGTGCCCCACGGTCATTCTGGACTTCTCCACAAACCATTTATACTCCTCACTGCTTTGGGATTACCACAGTTGATCTACCTTCTAAACATGACTCTTTGACACAGTTAAATAGTTCTAATAGTTTGATCATTACATTTCATTACAGTTGGCCTCCACTCTAATCCTCTGTTTTATTTTGTTTTGTGTGTAGATGTGTGCTTATTCATTTATTTATTTGGTACTGGGGATTGAACCCAGGGGCACTTTACCACTGAGCTACATTCCCAGTCTTTTCTATTTCATTTTGAATCAGGGTCTCACTGATTGCTTAGGTTGACCTTGAACTTGTGATCCTCCTGTGTCAGATTCCCAAATTGTAGGGATTACAGCTCTGCGCCACTGCACCTGTTTTTTACATTCAAAAGTATTATTCTGAGATGGTGTCCCATAGATGTCACAAGATTCCCCCAAGAGGTCCAAGGCACATTTATCTAAATAAGAATTATTTTTTATAGGTCCAGATAATTACATGATCTGTAATCCTGTGTGACATGGATTCTCAAGTCCCAAGAATGCCATTTCACTGTAGTGTTCTCAATTTTGTGAACACGAAAGTGAAATGGCATTCTTAGGACTTGAGAAAGTTTGGTGTAGGATAAATAGGAGGAAATCAGGCTTCTCATAGTAGCTGCTAAACTTGAAGGCTTTATTCCAGAAGTCAGAAAACATGGCTTCACAGTGAGCATCTTTGATACGAGAACAACTGAACATCAGTGGGTCACCGTGACAGCTTCAGACGTGGGGCTGTTGAGGTTGGCAGGTGGGGCTCTTCCAAGATGTCCCTTGAAGGGTTTAATGCTGGTGTCCCTAGAGACCATCCAGGAAGCCTTACACATTCTGCCGTGTTGTGACCTTCAGTGCACAGTTGCCACCCTGTGTTTGCCTCCTTGCTCTCTGCAGGACTTGACCCTGTACCACCTCGTCTTTTCTTTGCTCTTCACAGGTTGGACAGATGCAGATTCTGAGACAGCAGATTGCCAATGAATTAAATTATTCCTGCCGGTTTGACTCCAAACATCTGGCAGCTGCTCTGGAGAATCTCAACAAGTAAGTGCCAGGGTTTCCAGCAGCCCTCTGTGTGCCTGGACTCTTCATCAGCCAAGTGCCCTGGTCCCTTCAGTTCTTACTGTTCCAAGGTGTTTGGGATAAGCGGTCTCTGAATTTCAAGGCCTTCTTCCCACAGATAAACAAATCTTTCTAGAGAAGAATCTCTTAGTATTCTCTCTTTCTCCTCTCTCTGATGAATTCATTTATTCTGCCAATATTTTTTGATCACATAATACTCACCTGACATTGCACTAGGTACTTGTACAGACTTGGAAAGTAGTTATTACCAAAAGGCACAACTGCCCTTCTACAGGGCTGATGATCCCTGATCACCCAGAGAAAAACAGAAAGCGTGTTAATAACCAGGAGAGAGTATGGGCCCCTGTTCCAGGGCACTCCCACATCCACTACCCACCAGCACCCTGCTATCATTTCCAGCCTTCTGCTGAAAGATGAACACTTCATGCTTTTCCATTACAAAGTCAGTACTTTGAAAAAAGCAGGTGTTGAAACCACTTCAGGCAGCTCATAAGTCTGAATGGGGAAAGAATTTGATCTAGGCTGACTCCTACGGATGAAGTGATCCTAGGTCAAATTCTCCACTTACAAGCAATCACAGGTGTGCAGATTGGGAATTAGAAGGATCAAGCCCCCATTTTGTACACAAGAAAACTGAGGCCTAGAATGATCACATCACTGGCCTGTGTTAACTGTGTGTGAATTCAGCTAGAGCTTAATGTTGACCACTGTTTCTTCTATGTAGGGCTCTCCTGGCAGATATTGAAGCCCATTATCAGGATCCTTCACTTCCTTACCCCAAAGAAGATAATACACTTTTATATGAAATCACAGCCTACCTGGAGGCAGCTGGCATCCACAACCCGCTGAATAAGGTTTGTAATTAACATGTACAGAGGTGTAGTGGGGGCCATGCACTGTAGAAGGCCATTTGACCCAGGTTACAGATCAGTGCATGAAAATGTTTGGAGAACTTGCATTCAGACCCCAGAGCTTCCATTCTCTCAAGTTCATGCCCTCCCTGCTTTGATCTCACTTTCCCTGCCTGGCTCAGGGTGTGAGAATCAAGCACTGTGGTGTTGTCAGAGCTGTGAAAACATTGTGTCAGTGAAGATTGGCTTGGGCCTAGTCTGGGGTTGGAGCTTGGAGCTCGTTGGTTAATGCTGACCAAGGCTGCGCACTCATGGGTAGTGGGGCCCACAGGGCTGATGGTGCCTGTGCCCCTGGCCGGTGTGCTACCCTGCCCCCTGTGGAAGTGAGTGGTGGGGAGAATGGCATGGCTGTGCCTGCCCTGTCTTTTCTGTCCTGTTAACTGGGAGGGAGACTGCTCTGTGACGCTGCCCTGGGGAGCCAGTGACAGAGGAAGACTTGGCTTTCTGTCTCTGTGTCCTCTCACTAGCTGCTGCTTGGGTCTTTTCCCTCTCTCTTCTTCTCTGCCCTCCTCTCCCTGCCCGCTCCTTGCTCTCTCCCTGTCTTGCCTCTAGCTCCGCCTTGACTGCTGAGTTTTGCCCTCCCTCCCCTTCTTGCTCTCCACCCTTCTCCCTCCCTTTATTACTGACATGGCAGGATTCAGGGGGAAGGAACTGCTAGTCTCTAAAAAATTGTTCTTTCCAGAAGGACTGAAGGTGATATGGGTATTTGTGATTGGATGGGGTCACAGTTGTTAAATAGAACTCGGCAAATTAATGGAAGAATCTAAGAATCAGACAGCAAACTGAAATGACTTGAAACTTTTCATTTGAAAATGTGTTCTGTGTTGTTTTATAATGAGAAGAGGCCATCAATTTTTCTTTCCTTTCTCTTTCCAGATTTATATAACAACAAAGCGCTTGCCCTATTTCCCAATTGTCAACTTTCTATTTCTGATTGCTCAGTTGCCAAAACTCCAGTACAACAAAAATCTAGGTACGTATGACATTTGTTCTTTGCAATAAGTTATAGTAACAATAGCTTAACATTCAGATATGAGATCGATTCTTAGTTATATGTATGCTTATGAAATCCATGTCTTTGGCCTCTGAAATATTCCGACACCCCTTCAGTGGAGCCAGTAGACTCCAAAATTAGGCAAGGACCTTTCTAAGGGTTAGTTATCTAGCCTGCATCATGTGAGGAACCTGTTCTTTGATTCTGTCATTAATGTTTAAGCAAATCACTATGGTGTGAAAGAAACTTCTTTTGGCTAATGTTCTATTCTTGCAACAAGTGCCACCTGCCTCCAATGTATCAGGAACTGTGATTTGAAGAGTAACAATATAGTTAAGGAGATAAGACTATACTACATGGATATCTAACACTTAAATATGTGTATAATTATATGTCATAATATTTGGTATGAACAATAGATACCAAAGGCTTTCAATGTATTTGTTCTGTCTAGAAATATAATTAATATTTTTGTCATTGTTAGTTTATTTTGAACATTTTTATAATTACCTTATAGAGTCTCAAATACTTCCTGTCTCCAAACTTCATATCCAACTAAGTGGAATTTTTTTTAACCCACTATACTTTTTAATTTAAAAAGCACTATAAGAAGATTTCTACAAATGTCACCATATATTTTCTTAACCAGAGATTTAAAAATGCATTTCTCTCTTAAATAGTTTCACTTCATATTTCTTGAACATTTTTAGGGCAAAAGTATGGAGTCTCTTTTAATGTTTTTATTTCCATTCAAAAATATTCATTGGTTGTAGACATTATTCCCATCACAAGACCCATAACTGCCACAGAATGTTGTCAAAAAAAAAAAAAATACTTGCTCTGAGAGGGAGGGGACTGATGTATGTTTGGATTCTAGCTTCACCACCTGTCACTTATATGACTTCAGTGGTCACAATCGGTCCAGGGAGCTGTTCTGGGATGGCTGCTACACAGGGACAGGAGGTGAAGGCTCATCTTCCCAGAGGTTCCTCCTCTCTCAGCAGTCCCTGTGTTTTTATTCAATAAGAACATTTTCTCATAAACTGTTCCTTGTCTGTGTTCACTCTATCAAGTTTTCCCTTTTAATCCATTCATTCTGTCCGTTCTATGAAATCTTTGCCTACCCCAGGGTCACAGAGATATTCCTCTAGGTCTTTTCTACAAGATTTGTGGTTTTAACTTTTACATTGAGGTTCATCTTGAGTTACTTTTTAATGTTTTTAGTTGTAGATGGATACACCACCTTTATTTTATTTCTTTATTTTCATGTGGTGCTGAGGGTTGAGCCCAGCGCCTCACACATGGAGCAAACGCTCCACCACTGAGCTACAGCCCTAGTCCCCAGGTTGTTTTTTGTGTATGACGTGAGGCAGGAGTCAAGGCCACCCAGTTTAGTACTATTCACTATAAAGATCTCTCTCCATTAAAGTTTGTGGCATATTTGTAGAAATTCCACTGATCGTACAAGTGGATTATTCCTAGATTGCTCTGTTCCCTTGACCTGGTCTTCTCTCCTGGGCCGACACTGCCTTGGTCACTGGCTTCAGCAGCCTTCCATCTGGCAGTGCAGGCCGTCCAGCTTTCAGCAGTGTGTTTCCTAAGACGTCTCCAGTTGCCGGTGCAGCCCTCCAGGCAGAAGTCAGTCTCCAGATTTTGGCAGAAACGCTCAGGGAAGAGCCAATTTGGTTGTTCATTCATGTCTTAAATTTCTCCCACTCTCTTGACTTTGGCAGACTGTGTTCTTGTGTAACACTCAACATCGTGTTGAAAGATACTTTTAAAGTGTTTTATCCAAAATTCAAATTGTCTTAAGAGAGTACTTCAGGGTACCTAGTCTGCCATGATACCATTAACAGAAGTCAGTTATGGGTGACTTTTGCTTTCTCATTTACCTTCATCTACTTCTTAAAATTGTCTGCAGTAGCATCCATTAATTACATAATCCAAAAAAATCATAAGTACATTTGTAAATTAGTAACCATTTCATTGTTTTTGCATCATTTCATGCCACTAGGATGCTCCTCCACTCCTATGGCTAATTCACATACTCCAGAATTGTCGTTGCCTCCATGTCCCCTGCCAGTGATGATGGGGGCCCCACACATTGTGTTCATGAGTAAGATTTAATGAGCTTTGCCAAAGGCAAGCACTTCACTGGGTGCTTTCGTTGGTTCCCTTGCAGGAATGGTCTGCCGAAAACCTGCCGACCCTGTTGACTGGCCGCCGCTCGTCCTGGGACTGCTCACTCTGCTGAAGCAGTTTCATTCCCGGTACACCGAGCAGTTCCTGGCGCTCATCGGCCAGTTTATCCGCTCCACAGTGGAGCAGTGCACAAGGTACAGAAGAGTAAATGGAACTCAGTGGCAACAAAGGGAGATTGACCTGCATGTCACATTCCTCTTGCAGCCCTGTTGCTCTTGGACCTTGGATCCATCTTGGATCCAGCTCTCAAAACTCAGTGAGCCCCTGCATTCCTGCCGGCCTCTGCCAAGAGATGGCTTCACACACTTCAGTGTAGACAGACACAAGGGGTCAAAGCCAGGGCAGAGTTGGAGTTCTGGTGTGTAATGAAACAGGCATGGCCTAGAAGCTGCTATTTGATACAGATTTGTAAACCTTTAATTCCTTCTAGTTCTTTCTCCCTCCTCCCCAATTGTAGTTTTTCTAGGATAGGGAGAAAAAAAAGATTACATCTCTGAGATGTTGGGTCCTGAGCCTCATCCTCTGCCATCCTAAAGGGTCAGCCTGGCTAAATAAATTTCTCTGTCATGTTACACATGCAAAATTTGAGAGATTACACTTCTTGATCATCTGGCCAGTATTACTTAGACTAATTATTGAGGGCAGTCTTTCAGGTCTTCAGGAAACACTGCTGAGGTCAAAAATTGGAAAGGACTTCAAAGGCCATTTAATTAAGCTCCCTGCAAGTGCATGAATTAGGTCTACGACTCCCAGCAGGTAGTCAGCCTCCCACAGCTGCAGACCATTCCCATCAGTGAGGTTCTTGCCACCTCTTCAGGCAATAGAGTACACTTGAGAGGACTTGTTCTCAAAAATAGAAAGTTCTGATGGTTAGAAACCCAGGTCTCTGGGAGTTTCACTCACTGAGCTTTCTTCTTCCCATTGAGATTACACAGAATACCCACGGTCTGCACATCTCTTCCAACTCTTGGTTTCAGTAGCTGCCGTAGGCCTTCTCTCTTTAGATAGACTCCATCCTAATGGAATTTGTTCCTGATGTGCTGTAGTGTGGGGGTTGCTCACCTATCAGGACATCTCTTCTGAGGGTTTGTTATTGGCCATTATAGAATCTGACTTCCCAAACTCATACTGAAATTCTGAATACAGTCCTCCACATGGAGTGGACGCTCCGTGGAGCTGGGCCCGCTGGACGGCAGTGCTGCTAGAACTGACAGCCACTGAATACCAGGGGCTCAGACTCTTTTGCTTTCTTTTTAAATCCTGTCTTTTTTGCCCATGAGTTACAGGCCAGTTCATCCCAATCTTGGTTAATGAATTAAATAGTAGATACTGCATGGTTTTTTAGGTCATATAATCGGAATTGCTTCTAAAAGCGGAATTTTGAACAGTTGGGAAAAGGGGGGGAGCAGAAAGATAAGAACTGTCAAAAATGAAATCATAACAATGACCAAGTGAGGTCAGTTGGGAAGGAAAGCATTAGGCACCTGAAACCGTGTGCATCTGGCCAGGACCACAGAGAGGCAAAGGACTCCAGCTCCAGTGTGGGAAGTGACCTCCACACACCTGGCTGTCTCCAGCCGGAGTTCCCTGTCAAACATGAGCATGTCCTTCCTGTTTCTTCTGCACTAGTGACTATGACCAGCCACGAAAGTGCCCTATGGATTTGTTCTTTATTTGGTAATCTGCCACATGTTTAGTCTTTTAGTATTTTGACTCAGGGCCTATCATGTGCTAATCAGTTAATTGATCCAGACTGTTCTGTTACAGCCAGAAGATACCTGAAATGCCTGCAGATGTTGTGGGTGCCCTTCTGTTCCTGGAGGACTATGTTCGGTACACAAAGCTCCCCAGGAGGGTAAGCCATGAATAGGACAGGACAATATTAATGCCAGTTTGTGAACAGACAGTAATAGCAGCAGGCTTACACAGTGGATGCCTCTGAGCCCTTGCCATTGCCGTGTCCCCTGCTCTAGGTTCCTGCCTTCCCCACCAGGTGGGGAACTCCACCTCCCTCCTGTCACTCCATTCTGCCCTCCTCTTGAGGCAGCTCCCCTGGTTCAGGGCCAGTTCAGTGTGACAGACAGGCCAGGAGGGGATTCCTAAGTGGCCAAGGAAAGGAAGAATCTTGGGTAGTTTGTTTTTTCTCTCCACCATGACCTGGTGCCACAGTCTGGTGAAGTATGACCATGGTTAAAGTTGTACAGACCACTGCTTTTTTTTTTTTTTAATTAGTTGTTGATGGACCTTTATTTATTTATATGCGGTGCTGAGGATTAACCCAGTGTGCCTCACACATCCTAGGCAAGCGCTCTACTACTGAGCCACAACCCCAGCCCCGGAGACCATTGCTTTTTACCTTCTAAGAAATATCTTCTCACTCTTAAGTTGCACTTGGTTAAGTTTTAGCTCAAAGAAAGAAACTTGATACTAAAGACTTTCAACAGATACTGAAAAGTCATTTCCCATTTTTAAAAACTAGTAGGTTAGGAATTAAAGATAACAAAACAGAGATATTTTTGAGTGAACTAGCAGAGCTACACTTAATAGTGAAACGATAGTGGCATTCTCACAAAAATCAGGTCTATAAAAGTGGCATGATGGTACTGGATCCTGCTGCTCCTGTTGTTGCACAGTTGCAAGGTAATAAAATACAGCGCATAGTGGAAGAAGTCAAAATTTGTACTCTTTTTTCAAGGATGTAATTGTCTTCCTAGCATCATGTGAAAAAACTTTTAAAAATGAATTTAGGGAACAAGCTGGTTATAGAGTAAATGTATAAAATAAATAAACTGATAACCAACTTAACATATAATCTGAAAAAGGTCCCATTCACAAAAATGACCAAGAAATAATACAGTTGGGAAAACTTCTATAAGAAATATGAAAAGAGTATTTTAGGGGAAAACTATAAATTTTTGAAAGTCCATGCTTCTGAATTAGGAAATTCAAATATTATAGAGATATAAGTTATTTCTACTTTATAGATTTATTGTAACTAAAATCAAAATCCCAGATAATTTTTAACTTCAGTTTTTTTAATTACATCAGACTTGGGCTATAAGCAATTTTTTTTTAGAAAAAATATAAAACATTTTATGCTATATATTAAAACAAAAACTACAAAAAAATCAAAAAATACTGGTATAAAACTTAATAGAAGGATCAGTGGGTAAAACTATGTGCCCTAGAAACAAATTCTTTTCATATAATTTTATATTGGGCAAAATACCTTCTCAGACTGGGGAGGAAAGGAATGTTAGGCAGGAGACCTCTCATTAATTATGAGGTTGAAAATAGCAGCTTAGTCCCTTCACTTCTCCCATGTTGTTAAAATTAATTATAGATAAGAATTAGGATGAAATAGGAAGCAAAGACATTAGAAAGTTTAGATGAATGTCACTTATTACAACTTTCTAAGCCCAGTGCCAAAGGAAGAAACTAAAGATTTAATCTTCAATAAATGCCAAAAATAAACAATTATCTATTAAATGTCTCTCAAAAAAAGGACAAATTAGAACTATTAACAAAAGACAGGTTTCCTTGATTTAGATGAATAGTGTGCTCTTCCAATCCATTAGGGGGGAAAAGTGGGCAAAGGATATTAACAGGCAGTTTTTAGGAAAAGAAATAGAAATGGGATAAACATTTGGAAACATGTTCAATCTTACTTATATCCAAGGGGCACAGACCAAAATAACAGCAAAATTACTATTTTAACCTGTCCAGTTGGTCAAAGTCAAGTACTGGACTCCCAGGGCTTAGAAGGGTTTGGAGAAATGGGACTCCTTGGTGATAGTAACTCAAGTGTGGGTGGCTTAGCCACCCAAGAGGGCACTTTAGCTCTATGTATTTTTTTTTTTTTTCAATTCTAGTAACGTATTTACTCTGATCTCAGCAATTCCACTGCTAGGAGTTTACCTACTGGATATAGGTGCAGAAGTTCACTATGATATGTGCAACGAATTGATAACATTTTGCAGGGATAAAGAACACAAAATTGTGATCAATTTTGAGTCTATGTATGTGTATGTGAGAGAACTGCAAAAACCCATATTATCAGTGTTGGTTTTCTCAAGGGGGTTAGCATTACAGAATATTTCTTATTTTATACTCTTCTGCATTTGCTCTATTTCCTGTAATTAGCAAGTGATACCTTTATAATCCTAAAAAATTTAAACATTTCTTTTAAAAGCTACTCATCTCCAGCATTTGGAGATCACCCAGTATCATAGCCCACTCCAGCCTTCTCAGGGCTTCCCCAGGACAAATTAAGGAATACAGGCCGTTGAGGACTCTCAGTTTTCCCTTAGCCATACCCCCATTGTCACCTGCCAGACTTGCTCTTTTTCCTGGGTTAGCCTCAGCTAATGAAGTATGTCGTGTGACCTGAGATTACCTCTTGGTACTTCCCAGAGGCATATTCCTAGCACATCACAGTGCCCTTGAGAGCCAAGGAGATCACATTTGGAGCCAGCGGGACCTGTACCGCCTCCTGTCACATTAGCAGTGGCTAGAAGTGAGACACTGGGACAGAGGCCATCAGAAACAAAAGTGGCTATTACAAGTAGTTCCCTTGAGCATGGCTCTTTTCTGTGACTCACTTTGCTCCAAAGGATCTCTTCACTTCTGGAATTTTATGGAAAGTTTTGAATCTGTCCAGCTGTAACACCGAATAACTTACTCCTTTGTTTAATGTTGCAGGTTGCTGAAGCACACGTGCCTAACTTCATTTTTGATGAGTTCAGAACAGTCCTGTAAATTTTTTGTTCTTTTACTTCTTATGAAACGGTTGTCCTTAAATCTCCCTACCTTTGCTAAAATGAACTTGGGAATGCAAAGAAACTCAACAGCTCATATAACTGCAATTTTTTTCCCTCCATTGTGGGAAACATCAGACATTCTGAGGAAGATGTATCTCGCTAATAGTTAATATGATTAATATTGTTTAAATCATGGTATTATATGCAATTTATATCATGTAGAAGCAGAACAAATTTTGTACTGCCTCTTATAAATGCTGAATGTAATTGTTACGTATAAATCCATTTAGTTTTATGTTCTAAAGAACTATTTGTGCAACTCTGGATTTTCAGTAAAATAGAATTCCCTTTGTGAGGGAACCTCACAAAGCCAGTTGTCCTTCTGCTTATGATCTAAAACCTGCTTGTTCAACCCTTGAAAAAAAAAAAAACTTCCTGGAAAGTAAAGATGGCTCTGGGTAGGCATGGTGCCCCACCCACCAGAGGCTTGTAGACATGTGGCCTCAGCAAGATGTTTCACATGTGTAGTGACTGCTCAATCCATGTCCCAGATGCTGTGGCAATTTCTGGTGTCCGAGGTTCACCATCCTCTTCCAGTCTGGTACCTCATGGTCCTAGCACCTCTTCTGGGGGATTCCTTAACTTCAGTAGCTCCTTCCGACCTCTTCCTTCCCCGCCAGAGTCCCCACAGATCTTGTCACTATTCATAAACCGTTTCCCATTTTTTAAAAAATGATTTTGTAAAAAGCATAACCATGATTTCTAACAACCTCAAAATCCGTATTCACTTCTACATGAAAACCACTCTGAGAAGGGAGCTGCCATTCTGCTGTGGCAACTTGGGACCTCAGCAACTTGGATGAGAGCAAGAAAAATGCTTTGCTCTGAACCTGAAGCCAGCCATGTTCTCTGGAGAAGAGAAGAACAAGCAAGGACAAAATGTCACGTTTGGTTCTTAAAGGTTCCCCCAAAGGCTCATGTGCTGAAGGCTTGGTCACCAGCCTGTGGCACTGTTGGGAGGTAGATCCTTCAGGAAGTGGGGCCTAAAAGGAAGTTAGGTTGAAGGGGTCCCTTGAAGAAGTTAGGGGATCCTAGCCCATCCTTTCTCCTGCTTCCCAACTGCCACATGAGGTAAACTGACTTCCTCCATCTGGTCACGCGCTCTCACCACAATGTACAGGCCCTGAAGTGGCTGCGCCAAACAACTGTGGAGTGAAACCTTTAAAACCGTGAGCCAAAATAAATCTTTCCTCCTTTTAGGTTAATTATCTCAGGTATTTTGTCACAGCAACAGAAAGCTGGAACATAAACAAAACCCAGATTCCCATAAGTGCTTGAGTGGTTTAACAAGCTGCTGAGGAGGAAGCACTAATGTGCGGTCAGGAGGCAACTTTTGAATCTGGTTCTGCCCCTGGGTAAACCTTGTTCCAAGCCAGCCTTCATCTGCAGATTGAGGGGTAGGCCATTTGAGGGGGGTTCCTTCAGTTTTCTGATTTTATAAGACATTTCTTTTGTCCAAAGACCTCAAATCCTAAGCTACTAAAGCACAGGGTGGGGGGGTGATTTTACAAGCTTTATTTCACTGTCACAGTGGGAAGAATTTTAACAGGGCCCAGTAGAGAGGAAGGGAAGCCTCACTGTCTGCCCACGGACATGGCATCAAGGCTCAGGGATTTTTTGGATTTCTTTTTTTTTTTGGCGGTAGTGCTGGGGATCAAACCCAGGGCGTCAAGGGTGCAGGACAAGCACTCCACAATAAGCTCCACCCCCAGTCCAGGACAGCTTGTAAGGAGCTGGGAAGTCTCCTGCCCTGCAAGCCTGGTGCCTGGGAACAATCACATCCCAAAAATATCTTGCTGTTTCCATTTGTAATCAGCTAATGGTAAGTGCACGAAGTGAGAGGTTTAGTTCTCTGTGAAAAGAAAGCCAGCAGCCACTACAAAGGCCAGACCTAAGGGAGCTTTTAATCAGAAAACAGAGTGTGGGGCAAGGCAGAGAGGATCTCACCAAGCCAAGTGAGTGAGTCCAACATAAACTCTGCTAAAACAAGACAAGTGCTGTCTGAACCTGATTTTGCTAGTGATTTGGCCAATCAAGTATTTTCTCAAGTAAATGAAAAAAATTGAAAATGTTATTGTAAATTTTTACTAATTTTAAGGCATTGTTCCAGCTCAGACAGGCACTTACTTGTCCGTTCACTGCTTCCTGAACGCTGCCAGCCTGGCTTATTAGCGTGTTGCAGGGGGATTTATAAAGTCCTTGGCTGCTGTTCATGAAGAGGCGTGATATTTTCAGAGAACTCAGAACTGCCTCCCTGGATAGCTGAGGGAAAGAAGGTCCAGAGACAAGGCAACTTCCCCAAGTCACAGTTACTGAGAGCACTAGGTTTTTCTCTCCACTTCCCATCCCTCTGGGCCCCTTCCATTGTCATGCAGCTATGTAAAGGACTCCAGGACAAGCAGCAAAGACACCAGGGTTCACTCTTCATTTTATTTGCATGTCCCAAGACTCATCCCCAATACTGAAATCAAAAGAAAAACTGAAGTTTTTCCATGTTAGTGCTAATTTATGGTAACAATCATATCTTTTAAATATCTAACTTATTTTACCCTTCATTTTAAATTGAAAATTAAGGCATATATTTACATGCTTATATACAAAAACATCACAAAGAAAGTAATCCCAGTCTTGGTCCAAGAGTGGCCACTTCAGAAGTGGTGGGCACACAGCCGTTTCCAGAATTTCTCACGGGACTTGAGTTCCACATGGTCCCCTCTGAGCTTAATGAACCATATACTTCATTTCTGAGTAAATTAGAGGAAATATCACAGAACACGCTTTGTACAAGACAGCACCAGTACTGAAAAGGGCTCGGGGTTTTGTGATCCACGGTTCCGATTTAAAGCAAAAATATGTGGCATAGATTGCAACAGCAAAGAAGTGTCCAATTAAAACCAGAGGGTTAGGAGACAACCTATAAGAGAAAAGTTAAAACCCAGAAATCAGAACGTATTCATAAAAGGTTCCAACTACATGTCATCATCTGTAACACTTAACACATTCCACATTTCAGAGGACTCCACCGGTTTGTCTATTACAGATCATAGCAAGCAAAAGTAATTTTTTATATCTACATTTCCCTTTCAGAGAAGCCAATAAACTCCACTCGGCCTCATTCAAGTCATATATTGTGAGCTGTTTTCTGTCACTAAACTTGAAGGCACAGTCTAACGTACTAGATGGCCTGGTCTGTTGGAGTCTAGGTTTTTCAAAAAAGAAAAAAAAAAAGTCAGTGCAGATATTCAGATTATAGATGAATGTAAAATGACAAAGAATTTCACTTTGCAGATTTTCAAAGAATAGTCCCACTTCTGTCTACATTGTTAGAACTAATAACAGCTTCATGAGTCAATGAAGCGCTTCAATTCAAATTTATCAATTACTCAGAGCTGCCTCAGATGCGATCACTGTGGACAGACCCACAGGTAAAGAAACAATTCCAAAATTTCAATTTTAATCAAGGGTTTTAGTCTCCCCCTACAGCCAGTTCTGGTCAGTGCTGTTTCCTGGAGGTAAAACTCTGGTAAGTGTGGCCTTTTTTCATGTCTTGAGGCCACCTTCTGATTGGAATACTTATGAGTGATAAAATGACAACACGTCTAAGGAAGAAAGACTTGCTTAAACTGAAAAGTCATGAGAAAATCCTCTGTGCCATCAAAACAACTTACACAGAAAGCAGCCCAACGGGACCTGCCACACATTCTCCACCAAGTTTGAAATAAAGAAAACAGGCTTTTCTTAGTTGATGCAGGTAATCTAAAATAAAATTTAAAAATTAGTTTCAGTCAAAATATTCACATATTTATATTAGGGTACTAGTGATACGGCAGAAAAAAATAATGAAGACAGAACAGATGCCAAACCTTACAGCTAATTTTTAAATATCTAGTCCTAGAATTTCAATTTAAGACTTCTTTTAAATTCCACAATCAACATTATATGGTAATATAAATATGAATGAACTTGTTACTGTCAGTAAATGATCATTAACATTTAGATCCAAGAAGTTAAGAGTTGCTTAAAAGTTATTTATTTGATTTCATGATAATGCAAATAGTGTGCAAAGTCCTCAAAATTGTAGAAACCAAATTTCCAATTTCTGAGATGTGCAACCCAAATCTGTAACTAGGAAGTAAATTATCAAGTTAAAAAGAACAACTCTGAGCAGTAACTAATCATATTGCCTTATATATGTATAGTTTAATACTTTTAAATTCATTAAACCTCACAACATAGCACATAATTATTTTTCTAGCAGTTTAGATCACTGTCTTTTTGAGATATGCCACAAGTTTTCTTTACAACAAAATTTTTAATAAAAGATTGAATGGAAAAATAAATATTCTTTAAAAGGGAATGTAGTAGATAAAGAAACTTTTGTTCCAATACAGTTCTTTCCTCCTTCAATCTTTTATTAATTTCCTAACTTCTGTTTTCTTGGTGGATTTAGATTTGTAAGGTAAGAATTCAAGAGCTTAGAAAAGCTTAGAAAGAACAGCTAAGAAAAACTCAAAACTTAACTATTATTTTCATTTTACTTGCCCAACCAGTCTCTTTAACTTCCATGAGAGTGAATGGTTTGGTAAATCACAATCAATGAGTTATTTTTTACTTTTAGGAAGAGTTGATGGTTGTAGAAGCTACAGAAAGCATTTATACTGTATCACCTTTTATAATCAACAAAGAACTTAGAGCTCAAAGCATTTGAGATTTTCTGATCAGGAATGTTCAACCTGTATATAGACTGTCCATTACCTCTCCACAAAATGGAAACAAAAACAGAAGCACAGAAATATTTCAAATAAGGAAAGGGTAGGGGCTGGGGCTGGGGCTGGCTCAGCGGTAGAACACTTGCCTAGCATGTGTGAGGCCCTGGGTTTCAATCAGCACCTCAGAATTATAAATAAAATAATGGTATTGTGTCCAACTGTGTATTGTAATAGGGGAGAAACTACACTTGATTTGAAGCTCCTGTTCATTTTATAAAATATTACCTTAAAAAAAATTTAAACTAGCGTTCAGGAAGAAAAAGACCACATGAGAAAGACCTTGCATCACAATCTCATTTGAGGATATGTATGATCTAATCTGGACCAGAAAAATTCAAAAACAGTGCAGACATGGAGGTACTGCTATTAATGTTGTCTAAGGAAAGTCAACTGCCTTCCAAAGTGGTAAATACATCATGATTAGAAACTAAAAATCCTGCATAAGGATGAAGTTAAAAAGAACTATTAATTTGGGCAACATTTTTATGTCTGAATTAATTACTAACTTTCGTAATTAGCTTCCTTTCTATACAATTTAGT